GGCGCAGACACAACAAGTCGCTTTAGAACCTGGGTCTACTTACACAGCCTTTTAAAGTGTCAAATAGCAAGAGTCACCATTTGATGAATTTGAAACTGTAGAAGAAAAGATGATAAGAAAGTGTTGGGTAACTTCTGAGAGTAGGCATCTGTCATAGTGGAAACTAGGGCAAAGAGAGGAGATATTCAGAGAGAAGACTCAGATAGTGTAGGGGCCTGGCCCGAAATCAACATTTAAAAGGCTAGAAGAAAGGAGGAGCCATGGAACAAAATGTAAATACAAGACCAGATTCATGTCTCTTATTCAGTAGAGTAAGTCCTGTCAAAACACCAAAACAAAAGAAGGAATGAACGGATCTCCTCCTTTATAAGATGCTTAGATGGTGGGTGGTACAATCGTCCCTTATGTTCATGCCATGGACAGACTGACTCTTGTATCATGTGGCTGGCAGGAGGGATGAACAGTAAGAGTAGCGCTTCAGATTTGGGGATTGAAAACATGTAATGAAATAATTGTGTGGTCCTTTTCACTTATTGTTAAAGAAAACTCTGCCATCAGGAAAATACTAACTGAAACCACAGCTGCTTTCAGAAAGCGCAAGGAAACTGAATTTCTCGTGACCTGCTGGTAAGAGCACCGTGTTCCCACCACTCTGGAAAAGCTGTGGTTGGTTGTTATATCCCTGTGCTCCAAGTGGGTTCCACTCCGGAGTGTGGGGAGAGAGAGGCAGGTGCTAGCATGGGACCTAAGCATCCGCCTGATCCTTTGTTAGTTCAGCAACACTTATCTAAGTAAGGTGTGACTAAATTCCCAGTTTAGTTCCCTTTCAAATGGGGAGATTTTCCCACTGGGCCTGACTTAATCAGGTGAGGAGTCCTCCCGAAACACAAGCTTAGTCTAAGATGGATTCAGTAGAAGGACCTTGGTCCATGTTGGCCTTGCAGATGGAGTGAGCCACATTGAAAGGTGAGGGAGAGCTAGTAGACTGTCTTGCAACTGCAGAAGTTGAGTTTTTCTAGCAACCCCGTTGAGCCTGAAGAACATTGTTTCACAGTTTTGGGGAAGGTATTTAGGATGCGGCTCAGCTGCCCATAACCGGCATTTCAAGCAGAGGTTCCAGAGGCAGGGCCCAGACATCTGTCCAATAGAAACTGAAACAGTGAGTGAGTTTGAATCCACTGAGTTTACAGTGACTTGTTACACAGCAGTAAAAACTGCTACAGGTTTTAGAACTTAATGTGGCGTCGCTTAGCAAGGGGGCTGTGCTCTGAGAAATGAATTGTCCTATGGTTTCATTTTGCAAGTTGGTGTTTTCCTTGTGGGAAACAGACATCTACTCAGTTGGTACCATTGACAGAGCAGAATAATGATTCCTTCCAAGTAAGGCTTACTGACCAAGTGAGTTTGGAGGGCTTGGGTGAAGGGTTTCCAGAATGTGGGTGATACAAAAACAGCTTTATCATGGAAAAGTCCCATCCTTGGATGGGTGACCAGCTTCCAGAAGTTGCATGGATGGAATCTTGCCTAGAGTTTACCCCTCCCTCTTATCTTCTCTAGCACCACCCCAAAACACACACTTGCAGCTGAGCCTGAATCATGCCCAGGGTAGGGAGAGGCCAGAGGGAGGGGAGGATTATAATAGGCCACATCTGTGAGTCTCGCTCCGCTTTGGGTAATCACTAATTTCCAGGTGGTAGCAGCCATACTATGTCTAGAGAAAAGCCTTTCACGGCAGCGTGGTAGAACGAGTCTGAATGAAATTTAGGACCACGGTGACATCGCTAGTAGATCGTCCTGTGCTGTACGTGTCTTTGTTGTCTAGCTGAACATACGTGGTGGTTTTTTAATGCGACAGTGGGTGGGGTGGACAGGGCTTACATTTTGAGGAGCGCAAGAGAAAAGCCTACAGTTGCCCACAAAAGGCTATTTGCAGTACTCTTCCACACCTGTCTGCTCGTTGTCAGTGGAACTCAGAACAGACTGAGAAACATGTCCCTGGGACCCCGGGGAAAGCGCGTCCTCCTTGCATGGCCAGAAAGCCACAGAAAACTGTCTCCTCCGTGAATACGTGGTTAGCGTGTATTTTTAGTTGGTATCTCCCAGGACGGTGTTGAAGGTGTGACTTCGTATTTTTTTTTCTTGCTTCTTTATGATAAAATGCAAGTGGAGAGTGCAAAATTGAAGGAAACAAGTAAAAGGAGCCAGAACTTGAGTCGAATTCTCACTTCACTGGAGGTGGCGAAGGAGAGAATACTTTTGAAAAATGTAGCCCAGAGAAAAGCAGAAGATGCTGGCTACGCAGAGTGTCTCAGAATTTCCCCACGTTGTTTGTTTGTTTGTTTTTTTTTTTTTTTTTATAAGAGGTTCCTTTGAGAAGTAAAAGGTAACCCAGCGCTCTCAGCCAGACTGAAGGCCTGTGTGAAGTTTGAAATCTCGTCTTTGTGTCATAGCGAGAGCCTAGGGGGTCACCCTTGGAAGACAGTGGGATTTGTGTTCAGTGGAAGGAGACTTGGTGGTATTTATTTATTTAATTATTAGTGAGAAAAGTGTCGGTAAAAACACTCCTAGCTTGGACTAGAAGGCAGGACAGAGTGACGGAGGCCGTGGCTACACAGCGACAGACACATACTACCTTCTCTAATTCTCCGTTTTGGAGGTTTTCTTGATTCAGTTTTATGATTCAGCATCTATGCCATGAAGATCAGAGGCTTGTACCCACTGTATTGGGAGCTCGTGTGCCCATTTATGCTTACTGTGTTTTGTTTTGTTTTGTTTTGTTTTGTTTTGTTTTCCCTTATTTTTATTGAGATGGTTTGTTAGACTTTGGTTTGTTTAGGTGTCTAAAATAAGCAGCTCATGCACTACTTGTCTCCAGTTATCTTAGGTTTGATATCTTAGTGCTGGTGGTTCTCATTTCTGGGTTTCCCCAACTGAAGTTAAGAATAATCGATGTGAATAAAAAGGGACACTTGAAGGCAGTGAGCTGAGTCTGATTCAGTGAATGACACCAAGGTGTCCTTTGAAGCAATTGCTGGGGAAATGATAGTGAAAACAGAGCCTTGGAGGGAAAGTTGTGGCCAGGTGCAGCTGAAGAAAACTTGGAGCTAAAATAAGCTAACATGAAAGAGCTACCTAATTCTTGCACAATTAGTCAAATTTAAAAACAAGACATTAACAGCCAGGCATGGATAGGAGAGGAGCCCAGGGAGCCCTACCCCTCACTGCTGAACTGTTTCCTATCAATACATCAGGGAGAAAAGGAGTGGTTGCCTTTAATTGTGATAGTCTCACTCCAGTGCTCACAAAAGTAGCCCAGATGCAGCTGTAAATTGAGTAGAGTTGCAATCAGAAGCTTGATGTGGGATAATGTTCTTCTTCACTGTAAAGATTTGTCACTTGTATTAGTTTAATAAAGTGCTGATTGGTCAGTAGCCAGGCTGGAAATGTAGGCAGGGCTAGCAGACTAGGAGGATTCTGGAAAGAGGAAGGCAGAGATGGAGTCAGACACAGAGGAAGCAAGATGAGAAAAGGTACCAAACCACGTGGCTAAACATCGTTTAGAATTATGGGTTAATTTAAGCTGTAACAGCTAGATAGTAATAAGCCTAAGCAATAGGCCAAACAGTTTATAATTAATATAAGCCTCTTTGTGTTTCTTTGTGACTAAAGGGCTGTGGGATCCGGTGGGACAGGAACTTCCATGCACTAAAGCTTAAAAAGGTTATTCCTACTCTAAAACTTACGTAACAAAAGAAAAATCTAGAATACCCAATATAGTATAATTTTGGAAAAGAAATAGGTGTTGGTACTTGTTTTACTAGGAACCCCTGTGCCCTCCTCCTAAAACTGCTAGAAATTAGCAACAGTATTTTCCAAGAGAGAACAGATGGACTGAAACCCAGGCATGAGTCCAGAAGTCCATGTGTAAAGAGACATGTATGTGTTAAGTGACAGGGTAGCCTGGACTACATGTGTGAGACACTGACTGAAAAAAAGACAAAGCAAGAGAGATGGTTCAGTGGGTACAAGGGCCCTGCCATAGAGTAGAGAACTGGTTCTAGAAAGTTATGACCAAAACTGCACATGTGTACTGTGGTACAGACATATCTACAAGAACACCACACACACGCACTCACACACACACGCACTCACACACACAGAGACACTCAGACACATGCACTCACACACACACACAGACACTCAGACACACACACAGACACACACACGCACTCACACACACACAGACACACACACCCACACACACACACAGACACTCAGGCACACACACAGACAGACACACACACACAGAGACACTCAGACACACACAGAGACACACTATATATATATACATACATATACATATATTATATATATATTTAAAGTTAGAAAAAGAAAAAAAGAACCTGAACTCTTTCCCAACCTCAAATCTTTTCATCTTGCTAATTTTGGAAATATGTTAGGAAGGTGAGAAAACACATTTACAGTTATTTATAAAACTTAATAGGAATATCAAATTTTGGAGAAGGAGAAACAAAAACCAACTTTAATATAGAAAGTTTGTGTAAGTGCATAAATAGGGGCATGTGGTTTGTATGTGTGTGTGTGTGTGTGTGTGTGTGTGTGGCTTAAAAGTTAGATCTGTATTGTACTCATGGGTACACAGTGGATAATGTAGCCAGGTTTGAAACATATTATTACTTCAAAATCATTGTTTCTTGATCATGCCTTAGTGTTTTCTGTAAGGCAATATGTTTGACATATAAGATAAATTAGCATGATTAAATATTAATCTCTGTGGATAGCTCAATCTGATTTTTTCATTGTCGGTTTTCCCTCTACTAATTATGAATATAATTCTTTTACATTTGCCTTTTAAAATTATATACATAACTATTATATATAATGACTACATGAATTCCCTCATCACTAACCATCCAGTGCAGTTAGGGAAATGTATCAGTTAATCTTCTAATTTCATTTCTGTCTATTTTCTCTTGCAGGGTTACATTTTGCCATCTGCCTTTCCAGAGTAAGTGGCTCTATGTGGGCACTGAGCGGGGTAATATACATATTGTCAATGTGGAGTCCTTCACACTCTCAGGCTATGTCATCATGTGGAATAAAGCCATTGAACTGTAAGTCTGCGCATCCGCTCCATGTCTGAAAGCATTGAGTATCAGTATCTTACAGCTTTATGTTGGTGGATCCTTGTGGAATTGATACGTCAGGCATTCCTGATATTATATAAATGTCTCTGGGTTGTTTTATGAGTATTATCCTATTTTCATGACAATTGACAAATTAAAATTTTTATATTCACATTTATTTATAAATGTATAACATATTTTCAACTGTGTATAAACTGTTACATTAAATAGTTACGATGCAATAGTTATTCATTTTTTCTTTTATCTTCTTATTCGTCTTTTTTCTTTAACCTTCTAATTATTTTTTTTATATCTTCTAATAGTCATGCAATGTAAATGTTGATTAGAATTAGTGTTATCACCAAGATTGATGAAAACCAGATTGAACTGTGGTGCCAAGAAGTTCTAGTCTTAATTTTCACTTCCTGAAAGATTTTTTTGTGTCAACTCTTTTTGTAAGTTTTAATTTAAAGTTTTAAATATTAGAACAAAGCTATTGGCAAGACTCTTTTTAAAGTCTTTCCACAGTTTTACTCTTTTTTTTCTTTTTTGAAGATTTTATTTATTATGTGTACAATATTCTGCCTCCATATATATCTGCACACCAGAAGAGGGCACCAGATCTCATTACAGATGGTTGTGAGCCATCTTGTGGTTGCTGGGAATTGATCTCAGGACCTCTGGAAGAGCAGACAGTGCTCTTAACCTCTAAGCCATCTCTCCAGCCCCAGTTTTACTCTTTTGAGAGAGGAAAAAAAAATCTGTGACCTATGTCAGACATTTTGGTTTAACTATAGTAGTGTTTTCCTTTCTGTGGCGAGGGTGTTGCTATCCTTCAGAAGTGTGGGTTTTCAGTTTGTTCTTTGATTGGTCATGACCTCTAGAGGGTAGACGTGGTCTAAGTATTCACAGTTCTGAAGTGGTGCAGTGTCCCAGCCTCCAGCATCCATGAACAGGGGTATACTTTTTCCAAATGCTTGGGCATCCCTTCAGTTATATTTTTACCTATATGCTCTCTCTTTCTCTAGTATTTGCTATAGGTACCATTAATTTCTGGGGGGTTTCAAATAAATAAATATATAAATAAAAAGCTGGTGCCTAGTACTAAATGATGCTTTGTTTTAAAATATTAACTTCACAATGAAAAGAGATTTGCTATGCTAAAATAAATGTTTGACGACATGGAAGATCTTTCCTATATAGAAAATGCAATTATAAAGTTTTTTAACTTACAGCCATATGATTTTTGCCATTTTCTCTTTGCTTGGCAACTTAACTATTGTCTTTGTAAAGTAATGTTCTTTATTGTGATGAAAACAAACTTTTGAGTAAAAATCCTTTTTGTTTTTTCAGGTCATCTAAATCTCACCCAGGCCCTGTCGTTCATATAAGTGATAATCCCATGGATGAGGGGAAGGTAGAATTTTTTTCTAAACAAACATTTATTAATTAATCCATGCTGTTGTGACTTTTAAATGTGCAGATTGTCCTAGGACTGCACTGGATCTCACAATCCTTTTGTCTCAAAGGCTCCCCAAGTACTGAGATTGCAAGTGTTGGCCACCATGTTCGCTTATAAGAGACCAATTAGTACATTAGTGAGTGATTCCCAGAATTATTTATGTCTTTCTAAATTATATAACCTTCTGGTAGGAACAATTATTCTTAAATGTATTTTAATTTTAATATTCATGTGTGAAACTCTCGTACATGTATATTATACATCTTGATCACATTACTCCCTGTTCTCCCCTCCTTCTCTCTTTGGACCCCTTTTTCTCCCCAATCAGTCCCCATCCTATTGTTAGGGTTCCTTATTTTTATTTAGTTCTTTAGTTGCCGTTGGGTTTCATTGAGTGGCTTTCTCTGGACATGGTGTGTTTTGTTTACTGTAGCACTGACAGCTTACCAGCGCCTGTACCCCGCAAGGAAAATGCTTCCCTGTCTTCAGCACACTGACTGTCTGTGGTTCCTCAGCTAGGATGGAGCTTAGTCTCCCCTTTAGCATCCCTGCTACAGTGTTGGCAAGCTAGATCTAGTTCCGGTGACCTCGGCGTCTAGGAGTTTTCGAGTGCAATAGCTATGTCATGTCTATAGATTCTTTTCTTTCCCCTGGCTTTCATGTTCTTTGTGTGCCCTCTTCCATGATGTCCCCCAATTTCTTGGGGGTATGTGTGTGATGGCAAAGGGCGTGACACAGATGTCCCTTTTAGGGCTAAACACTAAATAATCACTCTCGGCACTTTGAGCACTTAGGACCCTCTGCATTAACTCACTGCAAAACGAAGCTTCCTAAGTAGGAATAAATTTAGTGGAGATTTCCCAAGAGCTTACGTAACTTAGGTTCCCATTTCCCTTGTCTTGCTTCTGTAGAGAAGATCTGAGAAGCTTGTGATCATTCAACCCTAACCTGTTGGCCATACTCTGACTTCCTTTGGATGTTGTGGCTGACTGAAAGAGGCGACAAGTTTGCTGTCAGCTTCTTAGATTATTAAAAATGTGAACAGCCAAAGCTAATCCCTTAAAGTTACAGGTCTCTGAAGTGGTGTGTTCACACCCAGATCTCTTGACCCAGGTCTTGAGCTGTTAACATAGTTTTATCAGTTTGTAAATTTTTCTTTGCTTTATTTTTGAATGGCCGTTCTTTCTCTATAGGACAGTGCCCTATCATGTATCCAAGAAACGTGGAGGGAAATGAAACTGTTGCAAAGTCTTTCCAGGAGAATCTGTTTCACCTCTCATAGCTAGTGTGTAGCTCACTTTCTCCTCTTCCAGTCTAGGAGCCCAGCCCATAGAGGGCGCTGTCTACACTTAGGATGATTCATCCTACTTCAGTTAACAAAGTCTTAATAACCCCTCACAGCCATGCCCAAAGGCACAGCCATGCCCAAAGGCATACATGTCTCGTCATTGTTTTGAGATCTTAGCAAAATGACAGGGTTAACAACTCTCACACCGGAACAGGGGTCTAGGGCAACAATTTATGAGACAAGATCAAGAGCATAGCAGGCTCCATGACAGATGTTAAAGGTATACAGATGTTAAAGGTATGATAGGGAGCATAGCAGGCTCCATGACAGATGTTAAAGGTATACAGATGTTAAAGGTATGATAGGGAGCATAGCAGGCTCCATGACAGATGTTAAAGGTATGATAGTGAGCATAGCAGGCTCCATGACAGATGTTAAAGGTATAGTGAGCATAGCAGGCTCCATGACAGATGTTAAAGTTATGATAGTGTGCAGGAGAGTTTTAGGGCTATCCCAGTTAACCCGTATTACAGTCTGCAAGAGAATTCAAATGAAAATGCCGCATTAAAAAGCAACCCTTCAGACTGTAAAAGGATGGAGAATTACTAGAGCACACTGGAAGGGCGTTGGCATAACATTTGGTTGTTCCAGGAAGTCTTCCCCCCAAGAAGCAGTTGCTAAGAGCACCTCTGAAGGATAAGGAGACTAATCAGAGGATTCCATCTATGCCCCACCCCCCCCCAAGACAGGAAGGCAGCGTGTACAAATGCTTACATGTAAGAATGCATGGAGAAACAAACTCCAAAATCAGGAAATGGAGTGTGTTGGGCATGACAGGTATGAGGGGTGATTTTGGAGGAGCAAGTACAAATCAAACAGTGATAAATATTGAGTTTTGATTTTATCATGAAAAAAAAAATGGTGTGACTGACAAATTTTAAATAGAAGCATACATACATTTCCCATTCAGCTTGGACATCATAACCGGTCCTCCAGCTACAATGTGAAATGGATTGGAAAAGAGATCTTTGTATACTTTTCCAGGAGGGAGGTACCAGAGATGGAGGGATATCAATTAGAAAGATGCACAACATCATATTAAACTTAGTTAATGGTTTTTCTTTTTGGAGGTTGGGCTAGCATTAATGATGACTGCCAAGTCTTTGACAGACAGCTGATTAGCTCTGGTCATCAGGACACAATCTAGAGAGCCAGCAGGCTCCAGGGGGCTGTACATGGTCTTCAACATACTTCTGGTTTAACATTAGGAAATGATATGGTTATTGGAACTGTGAGTTTGAATTTCATGACAGAATATGGGATTAGTATTTGAAATTAATCAGCACATACAGTGGGTGAAATTCCTTGGTGATATATAGATCCTTGAAAGTATGTAATATCTCAAACACATACAAATTCATAATTTTACTAGTAATTTTTAGGAATGTATTAGGATGTAGACTCGTGACTTCTAAGAGTCTGCTCTCTTTAGTACCAGTTGTATTTTGAGGTGCTAATCATCAAAAGTATGTAAATCCACCTTGCCTTGTTTTTATTTGTCATCTGTGTAATTAGTAACTTCTAGTGCAGGTGTTTATTTATAGTAAAGTTTTTTGAGTGAAGGAGGTAAACAATGATTAGCTGTATTTTATAGAGTAAATAACTCATTCCTCAGTAAGGTGACCTTTCCTTTCCCCAGCTTTTGATTGGCTTTGAATCTGGAACAGTTGTCTTATGGGACCTCAAGTCAAAGAAGGCTGACTACAGATACACATATGACGAGGTAACAGCAATGCTTATTCTCATTGCGGATATTGTCATTGCCATAACGCACAGCAGCTTCTCTAAGAATTGAATTTTCAGGTGTGGCTTCTAGTTGATGCTTTTTTCTGATTGCATTAAAACACAGATTTTCTTCTCTTAGTAATACATTCACTTCACCTTCCTTCCTGGGGAGTTAGAGCACACAGTGTATTGTCGGTATCATTCAACAGTGAACCTGTGAGTCCTGGAGTTCTCTGAGAAATGATGTCATTACATCCACAGCTCATGTCAGCTGCAGAAGATCCCCACATGCTCCTTCTACAGAACAGTCTGGTCCTTTCAAGGACTATTGATGCCTCTAATATTTCTCCTTGGCCGGCACTGCTCAGCAGTCATAGCACAAGCAGTACATGTGTTTTCTCTTATTAAAAAATATATATTTAGGGGCCTGGAGAAATGGCTTAGAGGTTAAGAGCACCGACTGGTCTTCCAGAGGTCCTGAGTGCAATTCTCAGAAATCACACGGTGGCTCACAACCACCTATAATTCAGTCTGGTGCCCTCTTCTGGCATGTAGGCAGAACAATGTATTTGTAATACATACATACATACATACATACATACATACATACATACACACACACACAAATAAATAAATAAATCTTTAAAAATATTTTAAATCACTTTGGTTAGCTTATCAATACTAATCACATTCTGTGTAAATAATTTCATTATAAAGGCAAAGCTTATTTTAAAATTGAGGTTTTATCATGACTTGCAGATACTTTTGGAGCAGTTTACCTAACTACTTTTTTTCCAATTTCGGTAGAAACACTTTGATTCAGAAATGTGTTAAATGTTGGCATTTACACTCTGTGCTCATCATGATATAAATGCTTTCACCCGAACTATTACATTCTCTGTTAATTTCAGCTTACATTTATAAGCACACAAAGAACAGAAATAAGCAGACATTGAATTGATTGCAAGTTTTGACTGTGTATGTATAGTAGAACTTCTTCTTGCGTTTTGGTTGAATGCCTCCTTGCTGTACTGTGCAATGCTGATAGTCCCACAGGACACCTTTTCAAGTCACTTAACCATTGAGAATGAAAAGTGCATCGCCATGACTGGGAAACAAGAAGTTCCGAGCAAACCCCAGGGGTGGATTTTGTAAAACTAAGATTTTATAGAGAAAAATCATCATCTAGGGGAAAAATTGGAGGCCAAATATGTCAGTCACATGAAATACATTGTGGATAGTAGATTAGAAGTATAATATTCCAGTCAAAAAGGATCTTCTCGTGGGTCTGAAGAGCTGGCACAGCAGTTAAGGCTCTCCTCGGGGCCCGGAGGGATGGTTAAGAGAACTGGGTGCCCTGCAGAGGACCCAGGTTTGATTCCCAGCACCCACATTGTGCCTCACAGCTATCTGTAACTCCGGCTTGCAGAGGACCCAGTGTCCTCATCTGGCCTCTGTGTATGCACTAGGCACACACAAAGAATAAACAATTAGAAAGGAAAGAGGGTGGTCCTCTCAGATTAAAGGTCACCCCCATAATTATTCTGAGGTATTGAAAATATGCTTTCATGTTCATACTGAGGAGTTTTCATCGATATTAGTCCTAAATATATATTTTGAATTTTAGGATAGATTGTTTGTTTAGCTCATTAAAACAAATTCTAATATATCAGAGTAGCTATTTTCTTCCATCAGGCATTGTTTGTAGTTGATGTGTGGGTAGTAACTTGGTAGTTCATTCTGATAAATTCTAAGAACACTCCTTTCCTGAACTTGTCAGTAAATAGTGCATATGTCATTGTCATAAGTTCCTAATACACACTTAAAAAATACAATGATCAGGAGGAATTAAACAGTTTCAATATAAAATGTCTTATTTGTATTGTAAGAGGACTAAGTTAAATATAGCTAATATATTGACTGTCTTGGAAACTGTAAAAATTTGTTAAAATCATTTATCACTAGTTTGATAATAGAATTCTTCACCCTTCTGTAGGCTATTCACTCGGTGGCTTGGCATCATGAAGGAAAACAATTTATTTGCAGTCATTCTGATGGTACTTTGACCATATGGAATGTGAGGTCCCCTACTAAACCTGTACAGACCATCACTCCTCACGGTAAGGACGCCTCAATTCTAAAGACTGCCCAAATTGTCATGGACTATTGTGTGGTCTGGGGGGAGCTTATTTTTGTTTTAATGGGTGAAGAATATTATGACTGTGTCATGGAATGAATATTGTAATATCTTCTGAGCATTTCTTCATTTGTCCAAATGGCAGATCATGTTAACTGTATGAAACTTTAACCTCTTGTCATCTTAAGATTGTCACAAGATTGTTGACGTGTGTGTGATACATCAAGGCAGGTCATTTTCTACACTTCAGAATGGTGTGGGATTGCTGGAGGTCATCCAGGGTTTGTTGATCCCGGGGAACTCAGCAAAGCATAGTCATCTTCCTGCTGTGTTTGTTACATCACAAGAATGCAACACAGATCCATTTCTACAGTGTTTAGAGCCTTTTGGCAGAAAAGCCCCTAACTGAACTTTATCGAACATTTGATTTACATTTTTTTCAAAGTATGTAAGAAAAGCGCATTATTTTCTTGTGCTACATGTGAAGATATAGAATCGCTTTCCTTACACAGTACAGCAGTCGAAATGTACACTGTACTAGTTTTATTTCTATAAAATATGGTATATATGAGTAAATTTTACAGGAAGTGAATTGCTTTCACGAGTTTTGTTATCTCTTCCACTCATTGCTTAGCTTGCCACTGGTAGCAGTAACCTCCCGACACTAAATTGAGTTCTACAGCAGACTCAAGTCCACTTCAGCATATTGTAATGTAAAAATATGTCTAGTGTACAAAACAAGATGCTGTTTATTTTAAATATAGTATATTTATGGTACATGATTTTTAGGACAACAACCACTCATTCTGATAGAATAAATTTTAGTTCTTCCTTTTCTCATACTTTAACTTCTTGTTTTTGATTTTTAGCCTAATGATTTTGAAGTTATTTTAAACATTTTACTTTTAAATTTTTGTGCATTGTTAGTTTTGATTAGTTTTGGTGGTGGTTATCACCGGCCCAGCATAAATAGTGCATGTATAAAAAATTAAGAGTTATTTTGTCTAAAGGGGGATTTCATTACATTTCATTTTTACTCTATAAATTATCAGTGTAAGAGCTTAGAATACTATAGAATTTAATACAAGAAAATATATTTTAGGAAAACAGTTAAAGGATGGGAAGAAACCCGAGCCATGCAAGCCTATCCTCAAGGTGGAGTTCAAAACGACTAGATCTGGGTAAGATTCCTTCTTTGCCATGTTCATAGTTATAGGTGATACAAATAGCATTGGAAGCTGTATAGTGAACTTTGAAGCCCTACTTTAGACTACTCTACCTTGTCTTAAGTTTTATGCTTTCATAATTTAATAGAATGCATAGTTTAGATAAATGACTCTTCTGGTTTTAGCAGTTGATTTCTACATCTTGGAAAGTAAATTATTTTTCATCCCAAACTTAATTAATGTATTCTGTTCATCCTTGGAAACAGTAATGTTTATTTGGTAGTGTGAAAAATGTGGAAAAGGTGATGAATGGAAATAATTAAAATATAAAATATAATCTATCCTGCATGTGTTAACTAAAAGTCATACATTCAGAAGTTAAATTTCATAATGTTTGACATTATGAATGCAACTTGCTACTTTAAAAAGGTTCTCAGTTTTATTATAACACCGGTACTCATATGAAAGAGATAAGAATAAGATGATTCTCACAATCTAATTGTCTCAATTTTATGACTCAAAAGCTGTACTCAATCTATATATCCAATATGTCTATAACAATCTTTTAAAGTGTTTCTTTGAAAATTCTGTATCTTTTTAATTTCCAAAGGAAGAGTTTTTTTTTTTAAAGACTTTCTATTCTAGTTATTATTAGTTGTCTTTACTAAAGGATCTAAAGAGTGAGAATCTCAAATTGAATCAGAAAACTGTGGATTGAGGTCCAGAAATCAGTTTTGATTCAGTTTGCAGGAATTTCTGATGTTACTGGTCTGTTTACATGTTCCAGTTTGTAAACATGGTGTCCTCTTCCCCATTTTTAACCTATCCTCCTGGTTCAGCTTTGCGCTGTCCCCCTGTGAGAAAAGGCTCAGGGCTTTTTTTGCCCAGGGGAGATGCTCTTACTTATCATTTATTTATTTACCATTCCTAGTCTTCCTGTGAGATCTAGGAGGAATACACCCTTAGAGTTGATTCAGAAACAGATAATAAGTTGGATGTAGTCCAGGGGGCAGAACAGATGTTGACTTGACCCTGGAAGCCCCTCACTGTGTAACCTTTGGGAAGGAGTTATTTGATTTCTTGTTGGCTCGGACGTTCTCATTTCTACATACATGGACAATAGGTGACTGTGATGAATTTAGCGAGATGTTCATGTATGCACACCAACCTTTGCATTAGGAAACCCTCAGCCACCAATTAATTATTATTTGTCACATTTGTCCTATTAGAAAAGAATTAAAATAGGAAAAAACAGAATTGCAAAAGTACCGGAAGGGGAAAAAAAAAAAAAAAAAAGAAAAAGAAAAGAAACCCGAATAAAAGGTCTGTGTTTATATGGATCATAAAGTGAGTTCTTTAAATGTTGCGCACCAAGGAGCAAGCCCAGGCCACGGTCCTCTGTGCTCCGCATCTCATGACAGTGCTGTTGGTACAGCCACGCCTTACTCGAGATGGGAGCTCTGCTTCCTTGTCACAGATTGGAACTGAAAAGTTTAAAAAGATGCATTGCACACCTGTATTTATCGCTATAGCTCACGATTGTTAAATTATGGAGCCTGCCTACAGGTCCATCAACAGATGAGTGGAAACATGGTATTCATACATAACAGAATTGCACTTGTCTCTAAAGAACGGGATTATGGCAGTGTCAGGAAAATGGATGGAGCTGGAGATTCTCATGGTAATTAAAATATAAGTAATGGAGAAAAGAACGGGCTATTGAAACTATAAAATCTATAAATGAAGATTTTGGAAGCATCATAGAGTGAATCCAAGTAGAGACACAGAAAAAACATTCTTTCTTACGTACCATGCAGTTTTGTGTGTGATATGTATCTCCAACAAAGCAAAACAAACACTTCCTGCATTGTATTGGCTACTTGTCACTTTGCTTTGGCAGAATAGCAGATAAAAACAACTTTGGAGAAGAGGGGCTTATTTTGGTTCATATTTAAGAGGACATACAGTCCATCATGGCAAGGAGCCTGACTGTGAGTGGCCCAGGCTGAGACAGTAGCAATATGCAATGTGTGGCCATATCTTGTTCAGCACCAGTAAGCAGAGGGAAGAATGGTTGTATTTTGTTCATTTCACGTTTTCTACTCTAAGACCAGTACCCATAGGATGGTGCCAGCCACAGTCAGGCTGAGTTTCCTGTCACAGCTAAGCCTCACTTGTAAACACCCGTCCAGCCACACCCAGAGGTTTACCTCTGAGATGATTTTAATTCCTGTCCAGTTGACAACCAAGATTAACAGGCACAAGTGTGCCCTTGTTGGCGTGAAATCCAAAAATGCCACTTTGAACCCATGACCTTTCATGCCATTGCACAGATATGATACACGGGTCAAGGTTATAATGTGGGCTATGTATTTTATTCTGGGAGAAGATTTACACGAGAAACCAATGACTGGAATGCACAGGCATGCTCTCCCTTACTTGACCAGAACCAAGAGAGATGGAGCTGGGGTCCAGGTCCCCAGACCTATTCTTCCCTGTCTCGTCCATACCCGTGACCACACTGGGCATGGTCAATGCAACAGGCGCAGGCAGGGTAGACATCTCACTACATTTCCACCTCTGTTCATCTCCGTGTAACACACATTTGCTCTATGAGCAAAGCTACGAAGTGTTAATAGTTCCAACATTGTTCAAAAGTCTGTATTCTGAGTCTGATGGGTCTCACAAATTCTCTTGAGTACCTGTTTAAAACTTCAATATTTACAGTATACAGTAGTACAGAGTAAATATCACTTCAAATGGAAGAAAGGGATGCCACAGTGATCACTTATGGAAACCACACCTCATGTTTATTTACAAATCTACTGACTGGTATCATATAATCAGAAAAATAAACATCAGTGCAACTCTTTGATGCAAAATATCGGGGCATACTTTTCCATCTGACTGTCCAGTTAGATATTAATAATTTGCCCTAGAAACTGTCGTGTTCTCTCTGAAATAGAGTTGTGCTTTCCACTTGCAAGCAGGTGTTGAGGATTTAAAAGACTAATAATGTTTATAATCACACAAAATTGGCAATGTAGAGTTTTGTGTCTGGTTAATGAACAATATAGTTAGGAATGCTAATTATGGGCCCATCCTCTAGCATTTCCACTGAAGCCTAGTAGGACAGCAAGTAGCTGTGTTGCAATAGGACAGCAAGTAGCTTTCTGGTATTCTGTCTGCTTACTGGTACTTATGTGTTTCTTTAGTATTGTTTAAGGCAAAGACTCATTTACTACTTGAGTTTCTTTAGCTTTAATGTGAGTCCTGGATTTCAAGGAGTAGGCATCTAGAGGCTCACTGGAGTCTTCTGTTTCTTATGCCTTCTCTGCTGTGGTATATGAGTCCAGAGAATCATTACCCCAGGCAGGTAAGAAAAACATGGGAGTTATTGTCAAAGTAATGTCAACCTTTAGTAGTATTTAAAGTGCCCTTCACAAAACTGTTTTAAACACACACACACACACACACACACACACACACACACACGCACGCGCATATAAATGTGTAATTTGTGACCTAGGCAGGATCCAGAATACCAGAGATTAGAGGAAGAAAACAGATGAACTCTGGCAATTAATGCTCGTAAATGCAGGTACCATTGTGGGAAGGGTCTTAGGAACACGCCGGAGACCACTGCCTGTTGAGAGTAAATGAGTCAAGAAAGGCTTTGGGGACATTCGAAATATTGATTGGATTGTTTTAAAAACAGCAACTAACCAAAGAAAGTGAGTAACTTTCTAAACATCATATAAAGGCTACAGCCCAAGGAATTGTGGCCAATTCCATAGACAGTAATAGAGTGCACATTGTGTTTCCAGGATTCAGGGTCCTCCATCCCATTACCATGAACACCTTGACTGTTGCTATGACCCTTTGTTTCCTCAAACTAATCTGTCTCTTGATTTTTGTGATACATATTTGTTTTCATTTTTATTTTTGTGTGAGTGTTTGCCTACATGTATGTAAGTGCACCGTGTGCATGCAGTGTCCACAGAGGCCAGAAGGTGTTGGATCTCCTGCAACTGGAGTTCCAGATGGTTTTAAGTAGCTGTGTGGATGTTTGGAACTGAACCCAAGTCCTCTGGAAGAGCAGCCAGTGTCCTTAACTGCTGAGTAGTCATTTTTGATGGACAGTGTGTACCTCCTTCTCTCCACCAAACTGATGACTCTGAACACTGGCTTCTCTCCACCCTGCCTCTCCTCATCTGTCATCACTTTAGTGGCTTGGCCTGACTGTTACTGCCAGCCCATCTCTCCACCTTATTCATTTCCTCAGTATGTGAACTGTGTGGGCATACTGGACATGCCAGCACTGGTTTATCCCCCAAAGCACAACAGTCAAACATGTTTGAGTCCGTGGAGAGGAGGCATCATGAACTGTGGTAGGTGAATCACTTATCCGAGTAGTTTTCTGGGTGGATAAGGCTAGTTCATTTAGTGAGGTCGGCTTCTGATGGGAACACAGCTTACCCCAAAGCCACCTCCAGGCTGGGTTGGAGAGGTTCATAAAATGAAGAAAGCGTGTGTAACAAATGATGTGTAGGAGTAGTCATCTTTGAAGACTTCCCAAGGAGCTTAGGGAGCTCGCACATGAGGGTCTGGTTGATCTCAGATGCCACTAACAGAGACTTTACTGACATTCTCCTTAAAGTCATAGAATAAAATTATGTTACCATTAATTAACACTGTACTAGCACATTCTCCTTAAAGTCTTAGATTGAGATTATGTCACTACTAGTAAACATTGTATTATCATTCTCCTTAAAGTCTTAGAATAAATGTATGCCATCTCTAAGACTCCTCATAGCATCAGAGAGCCTAGCTTTTTCATTTAAGAACACATCTTCTTCACCTCAGTAATTCATATATGACATATAAATAATAATCTAGCTCATTAGAACTTTTTGAAGTCCAAATTCTAGGCACAACTTTGAAATTTTTCAGATTTTGGTATGTAGAGTTAAATCCTTAGAACTTGTACATGACTAACTTTCCTGATAAAGTGTTAATATCTTCTCCTTAAGCTTTGGGTATAATGAACTTACTGAAGTTTCATAAGTTAGGTGCGAGTTTCCTGACAGCCACACTTCAAGTAGAGAAACAGAAGGTGACATAGCAAGCTTACTGTGAAATAGAAAATGACTTAGTGATGAGTCAGTTGGTATTTCCCTTCACCTTACTTTTTTTATTCACATCTTTCTTTTCCTTCTGCTTTTAGGAAAGAAATAGATCTAGCAAAGCCATGGGGGGGGGGGTCATTTGCTCATAGGGACAGTCCCAACTAATTGCCATAGTGTTATTTAAGACTGAGCTGATGACTTAGCTCAGTTGGTCCTCATGGTTGGCATTGGACATTGTAGTGTAGCTCAGTTGTCCTCTGCTCATAGCTTAGTGCTGATGCCATTGTATGTTTTTTGAAGTTGGTTGCATGTAAATTAATACTTTCCCTTGAAATACCACTTACAAAACTACCCAGGAATTCCTCTGTGTAGACATTTAAGAAACATTTATTAACCAGTGAATTCAAAACTATTTTCAATTTAGTTGTAAGTTATAGTAGGAGCAAAGTAGCAATGAGATAAATTTGTCTTTATCCATTTTATATGATATTAAGTACAAGAAAATTAAATATTTTCTGCTCACCAAAATCATAACCATATAATGATTAGGGTTTCAAACAATGGCTATAGGAGTGTGGTTTTTACTCAAGATAAATTTTGAGTTTTGGAATATAGCCAGAAAAATAATATTATCCAAATCACATTAATGATGCATAGAAATAATAAATAGTAAAAAATAGTCATGTGTAGTGAGATATTCACTCTGTCCACACCTGTTGCACTGACCACACCCATTGGGGGTGGGGATGGGGTGGATGTGACCTGGAGAAACTAGGTCTGGGGAAGGGACCCGGAGTACTCTCTTGCTTGCTGGACAGAGACAGGGAGCATCCGGAGGCATGCTTAGGACCAGGAACCTGCTGGTGTTCATCTGTCTCTGTTTTAAGTTATTTCTCCCTGAATAAACATCTATTCAGCCTGTTTTTCCCAATCCTTATTATTTCACGATATCTGGTGTCAGAAGTGGGATACAAACCCATGCCTCCAGGGTGAAAGAGAGTGCTCAGGGCCCCTTCCCCAGACCTAGTTCCCCCAGGTCACCTCCACCCCTGCCCCCACCCCCACTGGGTGTAGTCAGTGCAACAGGTGTGGACAGAGTGAACATCTCACTGTAGTCATGAAAAATATACTTTGCTTATTAATTCATTTGAAGGACAGTGTAACATTTTCCTAGTATGTTGACCACTGTTCAAGGCACTATTGTAGATAGAGCAATGAACAACATAGATAAAAAATGGCTTCATTGAAGGTATATTTTGATGGAACAATAAGCAAAATAAATTCATTTTAAATGGTAAATGCTATAGAAAAGCAAAGCAAACAGGAAGATAGGATGCATGAGGCATATTTTCACAATATTATTACACATAGAAACATATATACACACATATATACTTTTCATTCCCCCACATTTTCTATAGTTTAAATAAAGTGCCTGAGTAAGAAAAAAATGTATTTTCCCCAATAATTAGATATCCCCAAGATAACTAAATAACCGCTAATCTAACTAAACCTCAGTGAAATTTATTCTTTTTTTATATAAAAATAATTTGAAATTTTAATTTTAGCTTTTGCATTATTTATGTATTTTGGTACATGCTCCAAAAGGGAAATATCACAGTGGACAATTGTAATGATTTGCTGACATCAACAGTAGCAATGGCTAACTCTTACCTAGGGTTCTGTGGACCGGGCACTGCTTGGTTACAGAAGTGTCTGAAGGTTGGTTACCTATCTGTATATGTCTCTATGCCATTGATGTGGAATCCAGCGTGCAGAGATGTAAATGCTGGTGCTTCAGCTCCAGACCTGCCCAGTCACCATTGCCTGCCATCACGTGCCACTTATGGAAGATACGAAGGCTTAAAAATCCCACAAATGTGGAAAAAGTAGAATGCCATCATGAACAATAAATATACAGGCCTTCACGTGAGCATTTTTTCTTTAAAATGAAAACATTGGAAATGAGGGGCTGGAGATACAGATGAACAGTTTAGAGGGCATACTATTCTTGCAGAGGACACAAATTTGGTTCCCATAACCAATATCAGGAAGCTTACAGCTACCTGCCTACTCTGGCCTCCTCAGGGACCTCCAATCACATGCACTTTCCCACTAATGTACCTTTAATTAAAAATAAAATAATTTTAGAAAAAGAATTTAAAGTATAAATGAAAAGATTTTTTAAAAACAATGTAGACAATTTGTAATGGTTTGCATGCCACACATTAAATAACTTTATATCAAATAGATATCAAATCAAGGAAAAGATGAAGGAATATACCCGTGTTGTGATATATGAAAATATCTTTAGGTGCAGGTTTTAAAACATAGGTCTAGCTTCTAGACTCTAGATAAACATATAGTTTTCAACATAACCAGTATGAGGAGTGAGGGTGAGTGCTCTGTGTTGTGGTACTGGAAACATAGGTATTAGTTAAGCAGCCCTTAGGGGTGTGATGGCAGTGAGGACTTCAAAGTTTATCTAGAAGTTTTCTTAGGAAGCATTAAGGCCTATAGGAAATTTGTTTTAGTAACTTTTCCCATTTGTTGAGTGGGTTCTAGCTAGTCCAATTCTTGCTGTAGCCTTGAAAAGGCAGTATGTTATGTACTGTAGCTATCTGAAGCCATGAGGTTTTGTGGGGAACGTGTGTTGAGCATCCTTGTTAAGGCAAAGGTAGAAGCCACACAAAAATTTAAGGAAGACTCCATGGCACCTGTCCAAAGGAAATAAAATAAGGACTAGGAGGAGGTCAAAGAGTCAGATGTGGATCACGATCATCTTTACTGCAATTTAATCTTCAGCAAACTAGGTTTGAGCTTAATCACATTAAAAATTCCACATACAATTCTCCCATTATGTGATATATAAATATTTTAGAAGATACTGTCACTGAAGAACCCTGCGATACAGCAGAGAAAATAGTGTCCACTGCAATATTGTAAAGCATACTATTTTTCTTTATTTCCAGGGAACCTTTTATTATTCTGTCAGGAGGTTTGTCTTATGATACTGTGGGGAGAAGGCCCTGCTTAACAGTGATGCATGGGAAAAGCACAGCTGTGCTGGAAATGGACTATTCAATCGTCGACTTTCTCACACTCTGTGAAACGCCATACCCCAACGGTAAGGCTCGCTCTCCACAACAGTAAGATTCAGATAAGGTGGACGCTGTCTTATGCGGTTTCCGTGTGATCCTAATGCTGTAAGGGAGGAGACCCTGCTGCCAGAGCATAGCCGATTTTATTTCATTGTTTTTTTCCTTTGTTATCTCTTCTGTATTGTACATTAATATTAAATGCCTTCCAAAGACAGACACCACCCATGTTTAAGTATTTAAATTCTATGAAGCATGATTAACAGATTGGCCATATTTCTCGAGAGAAGTAGAGATGATATAAAGAGATGATATAAAGGTATGTATGTGTGTATGTGTATGAAGGATTTGGGGGATTAAAAGGCTTCAAAACTCCAGAGTGAGTTCCAATCATGTTTGGGAATCTCGGGGAGGAGTTGTGGGTTGGAACCTCACACAGAATTATCTCTCTGAAGGGAAGCTGCCTTTGCCCATAAGGCCTCCATCTGATAGGTTTGGGCCCTGCCCAGCCATTGAGAGTAAGTTCTTTGTTCAGTTTCCAAACTGAATGCTAGTCCCCTCTAGAAGGTTCCTTCATGGCAGCATCTAGACTGGTAGTGATCAGGTAGGGAGAGCACCAAAGCAGAATAAGTTAGCACAGAGCTGACTTTTATTTCATTTGGAGCTCTTTGACATTTAAACATGTCGTTATTAACAGGCACATCTTAACATTTGAAAACAGCAACAGAATTCTGCCAGTTCATCCTGAGATTCCATAATAACTGGTGGGGATTCAGATTGGGAGCCCATTCCCTGTGGAGGGGCACTCTCTCAGCCTAGATACATGGCAGAGGGCTCAGGTCCTGCCCCAAATGATGTGACAAACTTTGATGATCCCCCATGGGGGGCCTCACCCTCCCTGGGGAGTAGATGATGGGTGGGATAGGGACTTCGTGGGAATGGGAGGATGGGAAGGAGAAGGAACTGGAATTGGTATGTAAAATACGGTTGTTTAAATTTAAATAAAAATTAGTTTATTAAATAAATACAAGACGTGGTTTTGATGGCTTTGCCATACTCCTGGAATATGTAATGTCGCAGAAGTTTCTTTGGTGTTCTTGTCTTACTCATCTTTTCGGATATGTAAGAACTTTGAATGGATTGTTCTCCACATTTATCTCAGCCAAGACATACAAATTATAGGAACTATACTGGGCTCATCAGAATGCTAAGCACTCAGAAATTGGAACAAGAAAAGGAAGTCAGAGAGTCCGATGTCCATTGTGTCGTGGCTGCCCTCTTGCATCTGTAAAACATCTGGTCTTGCGTTGTTCTCATATTCCAGATTTTCAAGAACCATATGCTGTGGTTGTTCTGCTGGAAAAGGATTTAGTGCTGATAGACCTTGCACAAAATGGGTAAGAACATGGGGTGGGGGAGCGATTCCATTGCTGGGGGGGGGGAAGCCACACAAGGTCTCTTTTAGCATGTCATTAGCCATTACATTCCTTTGAAAACTTTACATTTATGTAAATGACCTCTTTTTAATGCTCCAAATCCACATTGCCATGATCTGGGATTTATTGACTGCAGTGCATTTCATAGATGTTTGTTTCTTTTTTCCTTTGATTGAAAATATATTTTCCGTGTTTACTGTATCGGGGTTACAGTTCCCCCTCCCTCTCCTCCTCACTTTGTCCCCGTCTCCCCTGCCTCCAGAGCCACCCCTTTTCTGTCTCTCACTGCAAAATACAGCCGTCTAGGTGAAATAAAAATATATAATGAGATAAAACACAATGGAACACACCAGAATGGAACACACCAAACAGAAGGGTAAAAACCCAAGAGAAGGCAGAAGAAACAGACGCACTCACTCACTCAGGAATCCCTTAGGAAACACTAAGCTGAAAGCCATAATTTCTTCACAAAGGACCTGTAGGGTAAAAAAGAAAAGGAAAAAGTTATACATAGATAAAATAAAAGTCAAAAACAAGGTAAAGTTAATGAACACAAACAAAGGAAAAGCCGGTCAAGGGACAAGGGACAAGGAACTCATCAGAGCACTGATGAGATTGTTTGCTGTTGGCCGTCAGCTCATTTGCCGGTGGTTGTGAGTTGGAGACGGCGTCTGTGTTTGTGGTGGGGGAACGTGCCCATTTCTCCTTCCAGCTCTGGGACCACATCTGGCTGCTGCAGACCTGTGCGGGCCGTGTGCACCTACCTACATCTTCCTCTGTCCATCACTCATGTTGAGTTAGAGGGCCTTGTAAAGCTTGCTGCCCTCCATCCCCTCTGCCTTTGCCTCCTGCCTCTTCCTCCATGGGGTTCTCTGACACCTGAGGGATGGGCTTCAGTGGAGACAGCCAATTTAAGGCTGAGTGTTGGTCTCTCACTTTCTTCATAATGTATTTGTTCTGGTTTGCTGCAGGAGAAAGCCTCTCTGGTGATGGCTAAACAAGGCACTCATTTGTGAATTTAGAAGAATGCCACTAATAGTAATTTTACTTTTTAATTTTTAATTTTACTGAAATATATATATTTCAGTATTATTCGGTTTCACCTGAGGTCCTTGGGCTGTCTAAGTCTCTGGTTCTTGGTCACCCAAGCGACATTGTGGATTGGTTCCATCTTATGTAGTGGGCCCTCCATTGCCTTAGCAGATTTCACAGGCAGGACATATCAGATGTTTGGTGTTTAGGTTTCTCTTTTGGTAGCCTGCAGAGTATCTTACTGTACAAAGGCGCTAGCATGTAGAGGTGAAGGCTCTGTGTAGGCATCAATTCAACTTCTCCATGTTCAGTGATACACTAAAACCATACTCAGCAAAATGGAGCCAGCTCAGTTTACCGCTGATGACCTCTTTAGCCTTGCGCCCTCTGTGCGGTCTTCTGTGTTTTCTAGATCTGTGTCAGGTTAATTGTAACTTACATCACATTCCTTACTACTCCAATTTAAACCACTGATTGCTACTGTTGTTTTGCCTGCTCTCCCTGAAGTTCAAAAGAGCGCTGTTAATTCTCTCCTGCTCTCTCCCTGTCTTCCCATAGTGGCCTTAATTTATGGGATAGCAGCTTGAGGTTTAACAGACCTTCTCTCACACGACTTTTGGCAGCTGGGACCTCCACTCCCTTCACTGCCATTGAGCCCTCACAGTTGTCCCCATGACTCCTCCAGACTGTACAGGCATGTCTGTCTGACCTGGAAGTCCCCAGACCCCATCTCAGCTCTTTGTAACAACTGCTGGCACCCGCTGTATTTATGCCTGTTATCAGGGATACTCGCGGTGCGCTGCGAGTGGGACCACCATTTAAAAAAAAAAAAAAATCACTGAGCACAGTGTCCTTTGAGCTTACATTCATCATTCCCAGTCACCCTTGGGCTAATGTGGTTTCGCCCCGGGGACTATTTGACAATGTCTGTGTTTTATTAGTGGAATGCTACTGGCATCTAGTGGATAAAAGACAGATAGGCTTCAAGCATCCAAAGTGCACGGGACAGTTTTCCCAGCAAAGGCTCCTCTGGATGTGAACAGTGTTGGAAACCTAATGTACGGGAGTGGTGCTGTTTGCCTGGTTATTTTTAAGACAATCCTGACTATATTTCAGCTTAGTTATCTGTTACTCGTAGCAATTATAAGTTTTTATTTTGTTTTTTGTTTTTTGTTTTTGTTTTTATTTTTTTGTTTTGTTTTGTTGTTTTTTGAGACAGGGTTTTTCTGTATTGCTTTGGAGCCTGTCCTGGAACTAGCTCTGTAGACCAGGCTGGCCTCGAACTCACAGAGATCCACAGAGATCTGCCTGCCTAACTCCCAAGTGTTGGGATGAAAGGTGTGTGCCACCAATGCCAGGGTGTAAGTTTTTTTTTTTTAATTTTGTTTCTAAAATAACAGACCATTTGAAAAATAATTCTGTATGAAGTCCTAGAAAATATGTTATTATGTATTTTTCTTCTGTTAGGTAAATTGTTTTAATAGTGAATTCGTGCATGTGGTCTGTATTGAGATAGGATTAAGTCAATAAATACTATTCAAATACTATTCTAGTCACATGGAATAGCTTTGCAGAATTGTCAGTTAAATATGTGAAATACTAGATCCATGGAGCTAAGGGAAAAATTATTCTGAAGAGAAGACAGCTAATTTTTATTACTACTCTTTTTTGTGTGTGTGGTTTTTCTTGTCTTTGGGGGTAAAGGTGGAGATGATTGGCCTCATTTTATAATCTATAAGGGTTCTTTCCTGATTTGCCACCTATTTTTTAGTATTATTAGCAGTAGGCAAATTAATAGATCTAATATATACTGGATGGCCATTTCGTCCTTTCTATGTGTCTCAGCTAGTGTCTAGGTTTTTCAAATATTTTTAAGTAACTGTCTCATCCTAAGTGGCATAATTATGTTTTTAGTCTTAAACATATTACTATGTGTTTAGATAGAATTTAATTTCATGATTTAAAGCATTTTTTTTGCTCATCTTGATAAATCAATTACATAGCTAGAAAACAAGGGAACCTCATGGCTCTCAACTGGATTGTGTCTGATTTCATATCTTAAAAACCATGAAAAGTAAAGTTGTAGTTTAGATTCTTACTGAACTGAAATGTCTTAGCTTTTCGCCGTTGTGATAAGCTTCCAGAGAGAACACTTTTCAGAAAGAAAGTATTCACTTATTTTTGCTCAGTGTTTGGAGGCTTTGGTGCATGGCTTGGGGCTTCCATTGGTGAGGGCAGCTCCTTACTTAACCTTTGCAGGAAGAAAGCCCTACAGCAGAGTTGTTAGTCTCACAACCTCCCAGCAGCCAGAAACAGGGAACTGTGTTGGAGCCACCGGGTCCCCCTTGTCCTTCCATTCCACCTGGTGGGCACGAGCCTCATGAGGTGGCACTAATCCTTCAGAGTGAGCCTTCCACCTTTAATTAGAGCTCTCTGGAAATGCCCTCAGATAGACGCCGAGACGTGCTCTACTGGCTGCTACTTTCTCCAGTTGTGTGTGTGATTAACCATCCCACAAAACAGCTTTCTCCATTTAATCCTGGGTGAGGTATCACACCGGTGGAGAAAAAAGAATCGGGATTTATGTTAGCTGTAGCAGCAAAAGGGTGAGGTATTTGATGACGTAATGCAGGTATCATCAGTGTCTCAGCCGTTTAAGTTCTGCTTCAGCCAGTTCCTAGCAGACAAATGAAGCCTTGGTTTTTGAGGAGAACCTGTCAGAAGTTAGGTGTGAGAAGCACACGAGACAAATACATATGTAGTCTGTGAATGGTGCTACCATCACCTTTCCGCTTAGTGGTGGTAAAAGCATCTTCTGTAATAAAACTCTTCAGTGCTTTACATATTTACGTAAAATAAATCAGTGTAATCTTCTAACATTTAAGGCGGTCTTCATGGTTGTCTTAATGTGTTTTCTTTTCCCTGTTGTTAAAGATACCCTATATTTGAGAATCCCTACCCTTTGAGTATACACGAGTCCCCAGTTACGTGCTGTGAATATTTTGCTGATTGTCCTGTGGACCTCATCCCTGCACTTTATTCTGTTGGAGCTAGACAGAAACGTCAAGGCTACAGCAAAAAGGTACCAAACCTAGGTTAACTGTAAATGTAACATACTATTATTTTAAATTTGGGGGAAATCATTTTTAGAATTAAATTATGTGTACTGTGTTCATGCCTACATAATATACCTATACTACATGTATACTACATATCTACTATGTAGAATATATATTCTCAAGTCGATTTCCTTTTTTTTTTTAAATAGGAATGGCCTATCAATGGAGGTAATTGGGGCTTGGGTGCTCAAAGTTACCCGGAAATAATTATTACAGGGTAAGTAAAAGTGTATTTTTTGCCAATTAAATGAGTATTAGCTAATATACTTGCTTGCAGCAGTTAGAATTTTAACTCATTTGGTAAGTAAAGCTTCTCTCTGTATTACAACATAATGAGAAGGTTATCAACAAGAACTTGTCTCGCGGTGATCTGTACCTTTGGCTCATCTTTGTGAAAGAGTTTGCCGACAGGTAAAATTATAACTCCTGTTTTTCCTTTTTCACCGTGTTTTCCTCTCTTTTGTTTGTCCTAGGCATGCTGATGGGTCAGTTAAGTTCTGGGATGCTTCTGCAAGTAAGCATTTTGAATATTTGAATATTTAGTCATGTTTCATTGCCATTGCCCTTATGCATGATGTGTTAAATAATTGTATGAACCACATAAGATTTGAAAGTACTAGATTATCAGCACGATACTGGTTTATCAAATGTGCAAGTTGAGAATTTTGAAGAATCCAGATATTTTAATGGTATTTGGAAGCCAAATAATAATTCTCAAGGGTTCCAGTCTTTTCAAATATCATCTTCAGAACTTCTTTTTAGAGGTCAAAAGTAGACATGAAAATAAATATATTTCAAATGGAAAATGCTTATGTCCAATTCTAAAGTACTATTGCAAAAGATTATGTTGCCCTTGTGAACAGACCTTGTGATTATACAGTAGCAAAAGAGGGAAGAAATACCCTTAGTGATTGCAGACCATTTATAGCAAGCATTTATGGAAATCCACTTAACTCAGGATAGCTGGTGTTTTATAGGAATGTTTGATAATACTGGTTGCCTTTTTGGAAAGTTTATATATAGGATGTCATTTTGGGGAATAAAATATGTTCTCCATATGTTCACAGCAAAGATTTTTCTCCAATTTCCTTTTGTAGTTTTTCTTCAGGCAATCTAAACCCTTTGTGATGGTGGAAATGTCTGAATATATAATAGACTGGAAAATAGATAGAGAAATGAAAGTATGCTTTAGGTAAATATAGGCTATTTTCCTTCCATAACATGGTGATTAACCATTATATTTGGGTTTTAAAGGTTTGATGAATTTTTTTATTTACAGATTTTTCAATATAATATTTTGATCATATTCTTTCCCCTTCCTCAACTCTGCCCAGATTATTCCCACCTCCCCACCCATCCAGCTTCATGTCTTCTGAAAAAAAAATTTAAAAAGTAATTAAATCAGAACAGAAACCAATAGAACAACAAAAAAAAAAATACCAAAATTCACACACACCCCCCCCCAAACACACACACAAAATGGAGTCTGTTTTGTATTGGTTGAATAATCCTACCCTGGAGTATGGTTGATATACCCAGTGACATTCTGCTGGAGAGTACTGGTTTTCTCTTTCCCAGCGTGTAGCAGTTGGAAATAACTTCTTGATGAGGGTTGGATTTTGCATCTACTTCCCCTTCTCCATGCTAGGACTTTGTCTGATTTGAACCTGTGCAGTCTTGTGCATGCTGTCACAGTCTCTGTGAGTCCATCTGTCCATCAGTGCTTTGAGCCTTGAGAGGAGGGATTTAATAAAGACATCCCCTTCAGGGCTGAGTGCCAAAGTCTTCCACTCTCTACACATTGTCTAGTCATGGAGCTCTTTGCTAGTTACCATCTATCACAAGAAGATGCTCCTCCAATCAGAGATGAGTGGTACACTGATCTATGGGTCAGTCCTTCTGAGTCACTTCATTCCTGTTTCCTTACCAGAATGATAGGGCCCATGTCCAGGATCTTGTGTGCTTCAACAAAATCCAGTATGTCATCAAGTAGGCCTTAGATCCAATTTTTAAAAAGAAATGGTTGATCAATTTCAAAGTATTTGTGCCACTGCTACGCCAGTTTCCTTAGCAAGGAGGTCACTGTTGTAGACCACAGAGTTTGTAGCTCAGTGACATTTCCTCTTCCTTGGGAATTTCTCCTCCTATCCTGGCCCCTTAATAGCTACCAACGTGGGAGTTGAGTTTTGTGCAGGGTGATAGATAATGACCTATTTTTATTCTTCACATGCAACTATCTACTTTGACCAGCACGGTTTGTTAAACATGCTGTCTTTTCTCCAGTGTGCATCTTTGGCTTCCTGTTAAAGCTCAGGTATCCATTGATATATGGACTTATATCTTGACATTTAATTCTCTTTGTTACTTTTCTCAAATTAGGACGATATTGGCTGTGGGCTTGCTGTAAATTGACTTTATTGTGTTGAGGTTTGTTCTTTCTATCCTGAATCTCTCCAGGACCTCTATCATGAAAGGTTGTACCACAGACCTTATCTCCATCTAATGAGATGATTGTGTTGTTTGTCTTTTAGTCTGTATATGTGGTGGATTACTTGTTAAATGATATTGAATCATCCTTGCATCTCTGGAATGAAGCCAGTTTGTTCATGGTGTTCTTGTATTCAGTTTCCAAGTATTTTATTGAATTTTTTGAATGTATTTTTATAAGGGCCATCCAATTGCTCTTTAATTGTCTTCTGTTGTTGGATCTCTGTATGGTTTTGGTATGAGAGTAATCATGGCTTTGTAAAACAAACTGGGAGGTATGCCTTCAGTTTCTGTTTGGTGGAATAATCAGAGGAGCCGTGGTATTAGTTCCTCTTTGACGGTCAGTAGAGCACTACACTGAATCCATCTGTCCCTGGGTTCTTTGTTTGATTGTTCATTTTTGTTTTGTTGTTGTTGAAAATCTTTTATTTCATTTTAATTTTAGTAGATCATATATATCTACAAATCCATCCATTTCTTTTAGGTTTTCTAGCTTAGGGGAGTACAGATTTTTAAATTATGTCCCTATGGTTCTCTAAATTTCCTCAGTAATGTCTCCATTTTGATATCGAATTTTCTTAATTCACATCTCCTCTCTGTGTCTTTTGATTAGTTTGACTGGCAATTTATTGATTCTTCTGAAAGAACCAAATCTTTGTTCCCTTGATTCTTTGTATTGGTTTTGTTTGTATCTGTTTCTTTGATTTCTCCCCTTAGTCATTTTTTTGCCATATGAGTACTATTTCTCTTTTTTTAAGAGCTTTTGAGTGTGTCATAAATAAGTTATTAATATGTGATTCCTTCAGGTTGCTGGTGTAGCACTTAGTGCTGTCCCAGTGTTAGGAACATGCTTCTTAGAACCTGTGACGTCATTCCCATAAGCTTGGGTGTGTTATGTTTTCACATTCATTGAATTATAAAGTGTTCCTAATTCCCTACTTGATTGCTTTCTTGGCCCAGTTTTCATTCCATAATAAATTGTTCAATTTCCCTGGGTTTGTATACTCCCTGCCATTCCTTTTGTTGTTACTGTGCAGCTGTAACTCACGGTATTCAAGTGGGCTGGAGGTGCTATTTCAGTTTTCCTGTATCTTTTAAGTCTCTCTTTGTGTCCTAATATGTGCTCAACTTTGGAGAAATGTCCATGGGTTGCTGAGAAGTATATGCTTTAGTGCTTGAACGGAAGCACTAAAGTTGAAGATGTCTGTTAGGTCCACTGGACTGACAACACTTATCTCCAGTGTTTCTCTGCTTAATTTTGTCTGGATGATCTGGGTATTGGCAGGAGTGAGATATTGAAGTCACCTGCTATCTCAGAGGGTCAGGATGTGATTGTATCTAGTGGTGTCTCTGAACTTATCTTTGCTGTATAAGTATTTAGAATTGCAGTATCTCTTAGTGGAATTCTCCTTTAATGCATATATAATGTGCTTCCCTATCTCTTCTGGTTTCTGTTTGTTTGTTTGTTTGTTTAAAATAGTATTTTGTCAGATGTTAAAATAGCCATCCCAGCTTGCTTTAAAGCCCATTATCTTGGAATACCTCTATCCTTTTATTCTAAGTTGATATTTGTCCCTGATGGTGAAATGTATTCCTTGAATGCATGAGAAAGATGGAACATGTTTTCTAATCCAGTCTTCCAGTCCGTGTCTTTTTATTGGGGAATTGAGACCACTAATATTGAGAATTATCAACGATGTGTCTATAAGTTCCTGTTATCAGTGTTTTTTTGGCCCTCTTTTGATGAACTATTCTAGGACTGTTTATTCCTTCTGTCCTCTTAGATACAGTTAACCTCTTCATGCTGAACGTTTTCTTGTAATGCCTTCTGTAGACCTAGATTGGTGAGCAGCAATTGCTTAAATTTGCTTTTATTGTGAAATGTTCTTTTCTTTCTCTATCAGTTGTGATTGATAGTTTTGGTGGGTGTGGTAGTCTAGTCTGGCATCTGTAGTCGTTCAGAATTTATACAAAGAATTTCCAGGCCTTTCTGGTTTTCAGTCTCCATTTGAGAGGCCAGGTGTTATTCCCACATGCCTACCTTAATGTTACTTAATCTTTTTCCCTTAGAGTTTTTAATATTATTTCTTTATTCTGTTTCTTTTGATTATTATGTGTTGTGAGGATTTTTTTTTTTTTTTTTCTGGCACTGTCTGTCTTGTATTCACTATGCTCCTTTAACTTGATCGTCATCTCTTCAGACTGGGTAACTTTTCTTCTGTGAGTTTGTTAAAAAATATTTTCTGTGCCTTTGACTTGCATTTCTTCTCCTATCACTATTCCAGTTATTTGTAGATTGGGTCTCTGCACAGTGTTCTAGGTTACCTGGATATCCTGTTCCTGACTTTTATTTATTTATTTATTTAACATTTTATTTAACTGAACTATCCAGTTCTTTGACCCTATCTTCAAGACCTGAATTCTCTATTGCATGGCTTCTAAGCTGTAGGTGAGGTTTTTTTGCTTGTTTGTCTTCCTCAGTTTGATTTCAGTTTGAGTTTTCTTTTAGTTTACCTATTTCTTTGTTAAATTCTATTTTCATGTCTTGAATTGTTTTCATTGTCTCATTCAATTGTTTGTTTATATTGTCAATCTTCCTTGGGGGCATTTATTCAGTTCCTCTTTAATGTTCTTGAACATTTTCATGATTGATATCTCAGCTAAATTGCTTTGCTGGGTTCCTGTTACAATAGTTTTACTGGCTTCTGAAGAAGGCATATCACCATGGTTGTTCATCTTTGTGATTTTTACACTGGATCTAGGTGTCTAGAGTCATGACTATTAAAGTATTTCATGATGTAGATGTCTGCTCTTATCTTCTGTTGGGTTCTTGTTCCAGCCTTTGCTTTCTGTTGCCCACTCTCCGTTCTAGCCAGGTGTGTCATCTGTGCGGTCCCTATATCCCAGTAAAGTATGGAGGCTGATGGTTGCTGATAGAGAGAGATTCATGGGTTGGCAAGGAGTCACAGAAGAATGGAGGCGGTCAAGGAATCGCCGAGTGGGGGGGGGGAGAGAAGAATTAAAGTTCTTGATTTTCAGCTAAAATTTGTAATTTACTTTCTTCTAGTAACTCTACAAGTACTGTATAAATTAAAAACATCTAAAGTGTTTGAAAAGTCAAGAAATAAAGATGACAGACCAAACACCGACATTGTAGATGAAGATCCATACGCCATTCAGATCATCTCCTGGTGCCCAGAGAGCAGGATGCTGTGTATCGCTGGAGTGTCGGCGCATGTCATCATTTACAGATTCAGCAAGCAGGAAGTGGTTACAGAAGTCATCCCGGTAATCCCTCTCAACTGCTTTCCTCGTCAGTTGTCTGATATTTTTAATTTAATATTTTAATAATTAGTACACAGGCTGCAATTGCCCTTGAATAAAAATTTGAAAGCATTTTAGTACTTATATCATGTTTTTGTAAAAAAAAAAAATAGCACTGTTACATATATTTTAATAGACTTTTAGAACCTGTAAGTATATTATGTCTTTTATTTAAGGAGTGACAAATCCTTCCATTCTAAAATCTTAATGCATATATGCATACATGTGTGAACTCCTACCCATACACTTTTTAAAAGTTGAGTCAAAACTTTTTCTTTTTTTAAGAAATACAGCCTTTTATTGTTACTCTTAAAAATAGTCTTTCTGATACATTATAATACTGGAGTTTTAATTATCAGGAACAGGTAAACAGCCATTCTCTCGTGACAGATGCTTGAAGTTCGACTGTTATATGAAATAAATGACGTGGAGACACCAGAGGGTGAGCAGCCGCCGCCACCTCTGTCCACCCCTGTGGGCAGCTCCAACCCTCAGCCTGCCCCTCCTCAGTCTCACCCATCCACCAGTAGCAGCTCGTCTGATGGGCTTCGAGACAACGTACCTTGTTTAAAGTAAGTTGCATGTTATCTCTCAATTTAGAAAAATAATAATTAGTATGCCTACCATACATTTGGCTGTGGTTGACTGGGCTTGTGTTTTTACGGTATAAGAAGAATGGTCATTTTATTGGGTTGCACCTAATTTTACCAAGGTTTAAAATGATGAGGTATGTCGGCTATGGGTCACCCTGTATGGCAAGCGTTTGTGCAGTCTAAGATACCCTCAGTTTAAAATGTAGTTACACATTCAAATGAGTTGCTTATTGTTTAAATATATTTATGTCACATGACATTTGCTGATACATGCGTGGCGGGTGTGATGTCTAAGTATTCCTCAGGAAGTCTCCTATTTCTATAAATTCCTTCCTCTCTACCCTACTAATATTATAGACTTAACCAATACAAGTGTAGCCCAAGTTATTCTTCATTTGTAAGGTTGGGTATTTAACACCCGTCTGCCCGGTGGTTCTGAATATACAGATCCATACCATCATCTCTGATTTACCAAATACTCCTCTGAAACTAACTCTTCGTTACTGAGGTGCCTGATGTATTTATTTAGTGACTTTGACCTGAGAGTCTATGTGACTTCTCCTCTCTCTCTCTCTCTCTTTTCTCCAATTTAAAGTATTATTTTTAATATTCTACTAATTTCTCTTTAACATTCCAATCCCAGGTCCCCCTCCCTCCTCTCTTCTCGCTCCCCCTACTGGCCCCCACCTCCCATCTGCTCCTCCATATCTCCTCTCCTTGTGTAACTCTCTCTAGCCTCTAGTTTATTCACTCACTCAGGGAACCAAATACCTCCTTTGTTCCAGAATATTGAAATTAGTCCAAGGTTTCTGCCTTCCTTACCCTGTGAGGTAGACCAGCAAGTAAAGGTACTTACCTTCCTGTCTCATGACCTATATGACTGAGAGGAAGGAGTGCCTCCTGCAAATTGTCCTGTGTGTGTGTGTGTGTGTGTGTGTGTGTGTGTGTGTGTGTGAGTGAGATGTACACTCAACAAAAATTAGTAAAAAAAAAAAAAGTAAGATTAATTTTGATTCATATCTTCCAAAAACTTATAAGCCATATCAAGTCTTACCTATAATGTTTTCTAAATCTACTATCAAAATAGTTATTTCATGTCAGAGCAATCAAAACAGCTTCCTAATTGGTTCACCTAGTCCATTGGATCTGGCATGTTTCCACAAATGCACCTCAAATGCAGGAAAGCACTTTGCTTCCTTCAATGTGGTAAAAAGTTTCCCACTAAAAGTCAGTTGTTTGTACTTTTCTTTGACTTCTATAGTGGTTTTGTGCTTGTTGCTTGTTTGGGTGGGGGGGTTTGGTGATTTTGAGGGGGTATTTTAAGACTTATTTTTCTTTCTTTCTGCTTTCTTCTTGTTGTATTTGCTCATTCTTTAACCACCTTCCCCTGCCCTCTGTTCCTCCTTCCTTTTTTTTTTTTTCCTCACCTGTTTCCTCTTGCCCGTCCTCCTTTCCTGCCTCCCCACGTTACATCCATAGTTTGCCAGTGCTTCCCTGCCTCTGTCACCCTGGCATGTGTTCACCTCTGCAACTGAGTTCAGTGCTTCTCGAACACCACACAATGCTCTGACGTCTACACTTTCAGAAATCTAACGTGGTCTCCTGTATACAGTTATTCTTGCAAGTGTGAAGAACAGTTAATTGGAACTGTGTTAAAATGCTAACATGTCTTCCTTTCTTTGTCAGAGTCAGAAGCTCACCACTGAAACAGTCTCCAGGTTATCAGACAGAGCTAGTTATTCAGTTGGTGTGGGTGGCTGGAGAACCTCCCCAGCAGATCACCAGCCTGGAACTCAACTCTTCCTACGGACTGTAAGCATGAGGCTTGTTGCCATTGTTTTGTTTATTGTTTCCCTCAGTCTCTTCTTAGTAGTCCCTATATAATTTTGCATTTAAGTATAAAAATACTTGGGCTTTATTGTATCATCATCTAAAATGTTGCTGTGTAACTATAATTTCAATATTTTTGCTTTATTTCAGACATGGTTTTGTTTTGAATAGTTCTTATAGGTATATACTGTGACTACTGATATAAAGTTTGGCCAGTGTTCATTGGAAATAGTCAGTATACCCTGTCAGTGTGTTCCTCCAGAAACAATGTTCTCATATTTCTCTTAAACTCTTAACATAAGATTTTATAAACAGATTCTGTAATTCTGAACTGTAACTCTATCATTTATTTTTCTGCTTCCAAAGTCAACTTGTACAAATTTCTAAGGGTGCAGCAGTAGTCTTAGAAAAATATTCATCTATACTCAGCTGTAGTTGCTCTCATGCCTTCAGTGTATAAAGCAGTTGTTATATTTTGTTTATTTTTAGAACCTCAGCATCACAGTAAGAACCTGCTGTGTACTGTCTATTACAGAAGTGTCTGTGCACAGCCCTGTCTTGTCCTCAGTAGTAGCTGTAGGGAGTCACCTGACCTTTTGTTCCTGCTAACAACTCACTATCAGTCCTCTGTCTCTGGGATTTGTACATCCAACTTAAGCAGGCTGTAAGCTGATAGGCCTCTCTGATATCTTTTATTGTCTGCCTTATAATGGAAGAGCAGAAGCTTCCACCTTCTAAATAAAAGAAAATCGGAGTTTCAAAAGGGATTAAAAATTAATTGATTAATTATAGGATTTATTGGGTGCATGGGGTTGTTTTGGCAGGGCAAAGTTTTGCCCTTTCTCTATTTTTAAATTTTGAATTAGTTGCCAATACTATATAATGAATAAATACATATATTACAAGTAATTTTCCCACCAGCCTGGTCCCAGAGCCACGCCAGCCCCAAATAACACACAGAGATGCTGTATTAGATATAAAGCTATTGGCCTGTTACTAGCGTTTCTTATTGGCTAGTTCTGTCTTAAATATTAACCCATTTCTATCAATCTAAGCATTTCCATGTGGTCTTATCTTATTGGAGAGAGGACCTGGAGTTCTGCTCTCTTCGTCCTATATGTTGAATCTCCTCCTCCCTCTCCCTGAATCCTCCTTCTCTCCTAGACCCGCCTATCTTGCTTTCCTATTGGACAACAGGGCTTTATTCATTAACCAATACAAGAAACATATTTACAGAATGACATCTCCCATCAACAATATTTAAAGCTTTAATTGAAGGATCTAACTTTCTGGCCCCTTTGTACATTCATACACAGTGTCAATCATTGTCTATACCTGAGGGGATGCTTTTCTCTTTGGGTTCATAATCTGCTTTGCTAATGTGACCCATCCTCTTTGACTATGAATGTAACTTCCCTGCACAGGCCAGCCACCAATATGCCTTCAGAGCCCTTAGATTAAGAATCATTTGTAAACAAGAGATGAGGCTGTGGCTCCTAAACTGCAATGAAGAAAGTGTTTTGAACGCCTCAAAGGGGGTCTCTCAAGACTTAGACTTTCCTTTTATTCTTGACAGAGGCATTCCCAGAACTCACTCCAACCTATCACTCTACTGTCCCAGGAGCAGAGCAGAAAAATAGACGTTACATTGCTGTGTGTGTGTGTGTGTGTGTGTGTGTGTGTGTGTGTGTGTGTGTGTCAGGGGGGTATGTATTGCTGATCAAGCTTCAGCTTCTGTGTCAAATATTCTTACAAGTGGTGCTAGTGCTTGATTAAATGATGTAGATAATATCTACAGGGATGTGAGTAATTCCTTGAGAAGGGATGTATACTCTGTATTCCCTTACCTGCACTCGTCTTTAGTTTCAGGTGACTGAGGTAAGTCCCCAGATCCTATAATTCCCCTCATGAGCTCACACACAAATAGTAAATAAAACAAATAGAAAAAGAATTTTCTGGAAGGTCCACCATCCTATTTCCTTCAGCGTTATAGTTGACATTTCTTTTAATAACTGTTTGTACTGAGATACATATGCTTCCCGCTACCAGGGTGGTTTTTGGCAACTGCAATGGCATCGCACTGGTTGACTACCTCCAGAAGGCAGTGCTGCTCAACCTTGGCACCATCGAACTGTATGGCTCAAACGATCCTTACCGGAGAGAACCCCGGTCGCCTCGGAAGTCGCGACAACCTTCAGGAGGTAAAAAGAAAAGAAAAAAAAAAGCCTTCTGAGCTTTAAATGCTGCAGGCGCTCACATACATGGGTCCCTTGGCTCACATACATGTGTTCTTGCACATGCATGTGTCCTTGTGTCTGTACACGCTCCAATTAAGCAAACAGCTTGTCTAATTTAAACTGAAATATAAACAACCGAAGACTAGCTGGAGATTGGAGTCTTGCTTTGGTTTTGTGTTGCCTTTATATTTTCTTTTGTTCTTAACCATCTAGGGTTGTATTTATTGTCCCAAGAGAACCAGTATCATACTTCCTCTAAGGCAAAGTACTGGGAACATGTACCCACTTATTACAGAACAGAAGTGCGTTTCACGGTTTTGTTGTTTGGTCCCTCTCAGCCAGTAATTGGAGTTGAACCATTTAATTCAAAGTGATTGTTCTTGTGTGGAAGTGGGCACAGAGATGACTGACAACCCTGATAATGACCATGCGCAGATAGCCTTGATTCAGCACAAGCTCAGGGTCAATAAAACATTAAAAAAAAAAAATCTTTGTAGCATTCTTTGATGTTTGCCAAGTATCTAGTGTTAATACTAAGTGTTTTAATGTGGGTACCTCTTAGAACATAGAACACACATATCTCTAGCTAGATATCCTGTACCTCTTGCCTGTATTTGACTGCATGATATACAGCAAATAACTTTGTATGTATGACATATGGGTATATTAATGAGACCTCCAGCAATAATTGACAGTGGGCTTAGTTTTCCTGTGGGCCCTCCCAGCTAAACCAAGGATTGAGGGAACCCTCTGTGGGGCTTGTTTCGCTCACCTGCCGAGTCCTGGCGAGCATTGGAACACTGTTTAGGGAACTGGTGAACTTTCTCCCCACGCCCACGGAATTAAAGTTCTCTTTAATTCAGGGTTGTTGGAGCCATGATGTCTTAACACCACAAATATATAGTACATACAATCACACATGCATGCATGCATACATACCCCCATACACACACACACACACACACACACACACACACACACACACACAACATTTTTAAAATTCAGGTTTAAGTTGCTCTCAGTACATTATTGACTAACGATAGCTACTACATTTGTAACACGTGAGGACATTAAATGACAAAAAAATAAAGGTAATATTAGGCCTTCCTATCATTTTGCTTAGTGGCTAGAATTTCCTTTTCAGAGTTTGTTTTGAGTCGTCTGTCTGTGCGTCTGATCATTTTATCATGTATTATCTTCAGCAGAGGCTCTGTTTCAACCATACCATTCTAGTGCCTGTCTCCTTTCTTTTTCCCTCCATCCTCATGACCTCACTAAGGTACGCTGGTTCTGATCTCTTGCATGTGCGGCCTTTCTAGCTTGTACCCTGAATCAGTGAAAAACCTCCGCTCCTCCTTCCTAAGTAAGTCACTTATGTCTTGACATTTATGTTCTGTGTAAGATGATTGTTTCGTTTTTCATTTTACTTAGCCACTAAAATACTTTATGTCAAAAGACTTTAGTTTACTCATTATGTAGGCTTACCTTACAACAATGTGCCCTAACCTACTTTCTTTATAAAGCAAAGAAAGAACTATTTATGAAAGAATATTAAAATATTTTCATGATCTTACATACTTGTAAAACTCTTAGGAGTCTTAAAATGAATTTCTTTTCCCCTTTATACTCTAGAAGATTTACATTAAATTGCTACTTAATTAAAAGTCCAAACTTATGTAAGGATAAAACAAGGTTTATTATATAGTTTTTTTCTTAAATTTTACTACATCCTGCTTTATTACACAGCAAATCTCATAATATCATCTATAATACTGTTTGCTTCATTTTATATTGAATAATTAGATGTCAGGCATATGACAACTACTTCAAGTTTTTATTGGTTAAAATGTTTACATTGTAATTGGGCTTCACTTTATCATTATTTAAGGTTTCTTAAATAAAAATTTAAGAAGTGTAGGCCTGGGGGGAGGGAGGGGGAGTTACGTCTGTGGTAGAACAGACTGCTTCATAGAAGGAGGGTTGGAAAGAAAGGCTGATTGTTTTTAAAGGTTTCCAGTAATATCTTGAGAAAATTTGTGCCTCTGATTCCAAAATATGACTTACTTATTTTTCATATGATATTAACTGGATACTAATTGGCATTAAAATCCTTTAATTGTATTGATGTAAAAAGAACGGTATTCTTCGCCAAGTGTTGGGGTGCATGCATACCCTAGAGTGTGGGGACCCAGAATAAGAGGTCCTCCTTAAGCTCAAGGCTGCCACGCAGCGCGCTGTCTTAGAGTTACAAGCAGGCTGGTGAGCTCCTCCTCCCAGCACTGTGGTTGCAGATGCTGTGGTTGGCACTTAGCCTTCTTGCCTGCTTCCTTCTTCTTGTCCCTCCCCTTTTCCTCCTCCTCCTTTTTCTTTCTTCCTCTCTCTCCTTCTTCTTCCTCCTCCTCCTTTTGCAGCATGTTTCTTGATCTGCAGCACAAGTACCATCGCACTATTCTTCAACTTTTTTAATAGGTCCATTTGAATGGGGAATTGTATTTCCTACCAACAGATACAGCCTATTTTGATTAGGACTCTAGGATCACTTATGAATTTGTTTGATAAGATAAAACGTTATTAGTTGAAGCTTGAAGATGTAAATTCTGTTATTGCATGGCAGCTGAATTATTACTTGAAATGTGGATTGAGGCTTCCTAAGGAAAACTGTCAGCAATCACAATGATACCTGAACCCATTTCAGACCCTCTGTGTATTATGTTTTTTTGGGGGGTTTTGGTTTGGTTTGGTTTGGTTTTTCTTTTTGTCTACATACATTCCTGTGACAATGTCTAATTAGAACAGGCACTGTAAGATTATCAACAGTAACTAATACTAAAATGGACAATTAGTATCTATGTATGAAAGCTCCATGTGTGTGCTCTCTCTCCTTCAAAATGCCTTAGTGCTGTGCATTTCCCTCCCCCCTCCCCCCTCCCCCTGTCCCCCGTGGTGATGTGGCATGGTTCTCAAAGCAGTTTATGGTTCTAGTAGGCACAGCAGCATCTGCACTCTTGGGAGGCACTTGACCATCAGTGCCACAACACGGAAGTGTGTAGTCAGAAGCAGAACTGGTCCTCCGTGACTAATAGACAGACAAGTGGGAATATATTAGGATAGAGTAGCGATGCCTCTGTGCACTACCCAGAAAGGTCCCTAACTTAAAATACAAGAATTATGTCTAGAATTTACCATTTAATATTTCAGACCGGGTTAACTGAGTATTGAAACCAAAGAAAATGAAACTGTAAGGTGTGTGTTACATAGTCAGGACTGCAAAAGGATGGCTGCCAGATGGCTTAGTGGGTGAAACACTTAACGCGTTGCCAAGCCTGATGGCCAGGGTTCAGTTCCCTGAACCTGAGCGTGGAACAAATGGACCGGTTCCCACAAGTTGTCCTCTAATCTTTATATGTGCACTGTGGCATGCACTCCCTCACACACGTACATACATGCATGCACACTGCATAAAGAGATGGGTCTAAAGGAGTTTGAAAGAATGTGTGTAAAAATGCACCTCCACCAGTAAGCTCGATATGTAGCAATTGTAAGTTTGCTGTTTGATGAATTAATAGCAAGCAGATCCCGACTGGTCTCATGACATACATGCTGTGACACCTGGCTTCTTCTGAAGCTTTAAGGCCAGTTTCTCAGCCAATGCAGACATCCCAATACGTGCCCCTCCTCTGTGTGTGTGTGTGTGTGTGTGTGTGTGTGTGTGTGCGCGCGCGCACGCACGTGCGTATACACACACACACACACACACACACACACAGTTTCTGTCCTGCTACATTTAGTGTGGGTTCCTTGCATGAAAATGGGTGGGAAAGGTTATTTACTTGAACAAGGTCAGTTTACCAGTTGCCAAACCAATGAGGAGTATGGTCCCCTCTGTCAACAACCATTAACTGTAACTCTGAGAAGAGTAATAGAGGCTCCTGAGTCCCCTTCCACACCTGTGATGGCGTAGTGATTGGCCCAGTCATGCAGGTTTTGTATAAGAAGCAACCACTGCTGTGGGTTCATGGCACAGCAGCCTTATCATGTTCAGAGGACAGCAGCTCATAGCACTCACTCCAGCCTTGAGCTCTGTATTCTCTCCGCCCACTGTTCTGCAGGGCTCCCTAAGCCTTGGAAGAGTTGGTGTAGACGCCCTCTGTAACACTGAGCACCCAAATCTCATATTCTCAACATTTTGATCAATTAGGAGTCTCTCCTTACCACTGCTAAAAGAAGTTTCTCAATCGAGGGAGAGAGCATGGATCTATGAGGACAAATAGAACCATTTAGAAGAATATCCTATCAGTTTAGCAAAACAACAGTTGATTACACACACATACACACAGACCAACACACACTTGCACACACCCACTCACAGGCACACACTAACACACACAGACACACAACATGTCCCATGGAGTTTTGATTACGTTTACAGTGTCAAGCATGAATTTTCTCCCGTGTGGTAGGCCTCAAATCCAATCACAAAGTGGTTGGTATGAATAACCCCATAACAGTATTGCTAGTGTGTCTTATCATGCCTGCTAAGTAAGCACTGTAGCTCAGAGGGTTTACAACTATGTGAGAGTCTTATCATTATCAATGTTACCATTAGTTTATGATATAATAGGTTTCCATGCAGCTTATTCAGGCAACCTTATTCTTTACCTCCTCATAAAATACTTTGCATTGCTTTTTATTATAATTTCAGCCCACTTATAGTATAGTTCATATACAATTTACATAATGCATATCCACCTTGAGATAAGTCTTTTTTAAGAGTTTATTTTTAATGTGATATTATAGTTTTTCAGAGGCATACTGTATAGGATAGGTAATGTGCAATATATAAATACTACAAATTTAAGAGTTAAAAATATTTTCAAAAGTATTTAAGTGATGGGTTCAAGGCATATTTAAGGAAAACCACTTAGAAATTTGAGTTGAGGACTCTTGTGATTGTGATATAAAAATTACCTAATTTAAGTGTTTCTTCACCCTTGGGAAAATCAAAGGGGCATGCCACTTGTCTCCACATATCCGGTGTTGCGCAGGTCTTGGGCTATGTCTGATATCCTTCAAGAATAACAGATCACTTCATTTAGAAATCCTGTTTCTAAATTTTCTTGTCCCATGACTACAGCCACATTATTTGGAAATAGTCTACCAGAATGTTCCATATCCAGCCTCATCATTGCCATGTCCATTAGTTTATCTTTTAGCGGTTACTAGAGAAATAGACCCTGTGGGCAGGAGGTAAATTTGTATAAATGGGTGTGGTCTCATGTGTTCTTACTTGCCTTTCAGCGGGCCTGTGTGATATTACTGAAGGGACTGTCGTCACAGAGGATCGCTGCAAATCTCCAACTTCTGGTAATCTGGTTTTTATTTCGTTAGCAATTATGGTTTAAAAAAAAAAAACAAAACTAAGATGGCTTATCAGTATGTCATTTTATAAGCAGTTATGACTACATATAAGAAACATGTCACCTGTCTTTCTTGAAGTCTTAACTTTTTAGTAAGAGAAAAGAAAAGTAGCGCATGCTGATAAAAATCGATAGCTTGTGTCTGCTCAGGCTTGTATGATTGCACACTCAGCTTTCTTAAAGTTAGCAGTGTTAAATGTATTTCCTATCACCACTGAATCCATCCATGCTCTAGTTACCCCACATCTATGCTTCTAGATACTCCTGGTAATGCTCAGTAGAATGGAGTATGATCATTGAAAAGTTGATTTTTTTTTTTTTACTTGAAAATTCAACTTTTTGGTAATTATAACAGATTTTTCCCCTTTTTTGGCTCAACGATAAGGGTCAAACCCAGGACCTTGTACATACTAGGCAAGCCCTTTGCCTCTAAGTGACACCTCCAGACCCAAAAGTTATTGAAGATTTTGATGTAGTCTGAAGATAAGGACTCTTAGGAAAATTGTAGCCTATTTACATTTGTTTTCTATTTCTAGTGTGTTTATGGACTTGTCAAAGCAACCCGTTTTTACTTTCAGGGTCTTTATATGACCCGTGTGTATATTAGTATTTCACAGCAATGTTAATTTTAGTACATTTGAGTATCCTAAGAAACGAAATCTTGAGTTTGTTATTGTACGAGATTGTAGCTTTGCTAGTCTTTAGTAAATTTAATTTAATTATTTTAATTAAATTTATCTTTTCTACCTAGGAATCTTCACTAGCTTTTCTTCTAGGAATTTTTTCTTGGTGCATAAGTAGTGCCGTGTTTAGATTTCTGTCTTTCACTTGCCATTCTACTGTGTTGGACAAAACTGTATGATGGCATATATTGTGAGGAGTATTTTTTTTTTTAATCACTGCCATGCTTCTGTTTCCATTTTATTGGCCCTAAATTGATAAAAAGTTTTTGTGTTCTCTTTTTATAATTGTTTTCTGACTTTACACAAATTGATCATTTTATTTTTCAAAGTTGAAGAGTGCCCTAGGGAGAGGGACCATGGGTAAAGGGCTTGCATTTGAGACGATGGGTGTTTGTTCCTCAGAGTCCACAGAGAAAAGCCAAGCACAGTGATGTGCTTTCGTAATCCCAGCCTTGGGGAAGTGAAGACAGTGGATCCCAGTGGCTTGCTGGCCTGGGTGGCAAGCTCCAAGACAAGAGCCTCTGCCTCCAAACAAGGTGGATGGCACATGAAAATGACACCTGGGATTGTCCTTTGACCTCCACGTGTATGCATGTGTGTGTGTGTGCGCGCACACACACACACACACACCAGCACACAGCACACACACACACCAGCACACACACACCAGCACACAGCACACACATGAACGGGCACTCACAAAGAATCTATCCACACAGGTATTTTGTTCTTTAAAACTGCTATTTCAGTTTGCCCATTAAACTTCTATAACATGGAGCCACAAAAGGCACAATGCTACGTACCCATCAGTAAGCTTGTGCATGACAGAAAGGAATTACTTTCCCTCGTGTAGGATTGATATCTTCCTAACTTTGGAGTAGAACTATAGTGCCTCATTTTTCCTTTTAAGTACAGTTTATTTATGTTCTTCCTACCTTCCCAAAAGACCAATCAATACAGATATCGATGTATTAAGGGCCTGATCACTGTGGGTATTTTGGACATGGAACATATCACACTTAAACTAATCATTTTTATAGTTGTATTCAGCCCAAATAAATTAACATCTTTTTTCACACTAGGCCAAACTTTAAAATGGCAGGTGCAGGAAGCATTTAATAGTCACACACAACTTTAGATAAATGCAAAAGGGTAGATAATTATAAATATTTAAATATAGAAAGTACATAAATTTGTGCTCTTAAATCCAACCCCAGAGATCCTCCAAGTAGAGAAAACCCAAACGTGGTTCAACATTTTAAAATATATTTTGCTTATTGGTTCATATGCAAATCAGTATGATTTTGACATTGATGAGATGCTACTTGTTTTTATTGTTTCTAACATTTCTATCAGCTTGAAGCGCAGAATTGAAGTTGTAACCCCAAGATCAGTGACAAGGCATGAATTTTTATCCTTACATATAAAACCTGCAATGTGTTTGGATTTGCCTTTGCTCATGCTCAGATGGTAGAAGTCTGAGGAGTCAAGTCTGTTCTTACACATCGAGAAAAAGCATTCTTCAAAGAGACCAAACTTCTCAGGCATCTAAAACACTCTGTGGATGGCAGTGTGCTGAGCTGCGCACACTGAAGTGAGCACTAGAATGTCCCCATCACAGCCCCTCTGGTCGCTGAACTTTTGCAGATTGGGTACAGTTTTCTGTTAGTTGCTAGTATTCTGTACTCTCATGACCTGATGATCTTAATATTTGTAATTGCTTTGCCCTCATCCATTGTTAATTCCTAATTGAGATTAAAGGAAAGATGTATTATCAGTTTTCTTACTAGCAAATTAAAATCTAACAATAAAAAAAGGATTAAATTAATTTGAGGTGACTCAAAAATCCACAGTTTTCTTTTTCTTAATTTATTTGCTTTTGGTGTTTTGAGACATTCTTGGCTAGGCTAGAACTCACTGTGTATACCAGTGGGCCCTGCTTCCTAAGTGCTGGGATTAAATGTGACCGCACCTAGCTTTTTTTTTTTTAAATTGTTTTCAATAGCATAAAAATAACAAAAGTACTTGCCTGAATTACTCACAATGAGATAGGATATAAATAAATAAAATAGTTAAATAGCACATAATAAATTATTAAACATTAGTTAATATTTTAAAAGTTAGTATTTGTAGAAGAGGAAAATATGTATAAAGGTGAATTGGAACTTAGAATGTGCCCCTCAGACGTACGAAGAAGAGATCGATATTTTGAAAGTAGAAGTGCCTGTGTGCTTTCTGTCAAATTCCATGCACTGACCAAAGCGTATGCATACAATGAAGAAACCTGAGGATCTTTTAAATCCTGCAACCAAAATAGCTGTCCAGGTAATTATTATAAATTCTCTTTTCAGAGAACATGTTTCAAAGCATGTTAAAGAGTTTACCTTTCAATTTATTTAAAAAAAACAAAAAAAACCCAAAAAACCCAGTGGTCTGTGACAAGCTGACGTCAGCACTGTGTGCTGGGTACATGATGAGCAAATGGAAGTGAGAAGTGCCTAAATTATTTCAGGGAGCTCTGACTGTTTCTCCTAGCACTTTAGAAATGATGCACTCTCTCTGTGATATCTGTCTATAATTATGTAATCATATAGAGTGCTATGATGATTTGGGGGATCTATTAGGCTGTTTCTAACTGAAGAGTCGCACACAGTCTGATATAAATAGTGACCTTCAGTGTTTATATGGTGACCTGAAGAAAATAAGTTGTAGATGGATGTTTGTAGTAACCTGGTAGATTTATTCAAGTAAACTTTGTGATTTGCCACGTGTTATCCTAGAAATTACAACAGGCAGTAGTAAGATATATTCAACTACATTGCCTGTTTATGCTTAGAAAATATCAAACATTTTTCTAATATTTATATAAGAAAATGCTAGCATGTTATTATTCTGATATGTGATTAACAAAAGCCATTGTTAATATACATTTACCATCAATTTATGCAGCCATTTGGTACCAGAGATGACAGCATTTTAAAATGTGAAGTTCCTATGGCTATTACACTCTTGTGTTGTATTTGTATAAAAAGCAGCTATCCCTGTTTCTGCTCTGAACTATTACTGTGGTCAGTGATAGCTTTGTGATGGTTCTAGCTGAGATTTGGGCAAATCTGGAGATGCTGTTGATAAGAACAGCATGGATTATTCAGACAGTAGTGTTTGCAAACTCTGTAGATGTGATTGGATTCTGCCCATGTTGGCAGGCTATTCTTGGTGAGAATGTCTCCCTAGCTGTAGTAAAGAAAGAGGACTTTCAGGGAAGTCAAGTTCAAGATTTTGAGTTTCTACCTACCTAATTCACTAAGGTTTATTATTTTTACTGGGGTTCTTTTAAGCATAAAAAGGAAATCTTTTTATTTACTCTCAGTTCTTTTTACATATTTTCTCCAAGCAGAAGACTTCGTTCATTTAGCTAATATGAACTAATGACATCTATATGAAATACACTTCATTGATCATAAGCGGGATGTAAAAATCAATTAGAATTTGTCTCAGTGAGGGAAGGTCATCTGTGTCTAAATTAAAAAATACTACATAACTAAATGGTAAATATTGTATCAGAAGTATATAAAGTATCATGAGAACTTAAAGGGGGAGTAATCTCTAGTTAGGAAGGTGGGGAATAATTTGATCTGTGAAATAAGTCGAGATGTACTTAATAGGTGTCTAAATGTTATATTTCCTTTATGTGTTCTTTGACTTATAAATAATATAAAACACAACAAGATTTTGCCCAGTTATTATGTATAATGGAACTATTAGGATAAATTTCTGTAGAGTAGGGTATGCTATACAAGACTGCATACTACTGAACTCAATACTGGGGTATTCTAGAATTGAGACCACCAAGTCCTGGTGGTCAGCAGGGTTTTAATATGTGATTGTTTGCTGTGCCATCTCTGTGTTTGTGACTGACCGTGTGCCCCTGTCCCTTCCATTGTCTTCATTTGTGTAGGCTCTTCATCACCACACAATTCAGACGATGAACAAACAGTGAATAATTTTATAGAAAAGGGTATAGTATCTTTATTTTAAAGTATCTTATTTTGTTTATGCTTAATTTATTTAGTTTGCTCTGAATAGATTTTTGACATTTCATATTAAAATATTATTTTCAGTGAAGACCAAAAGCAGAAAGTTTTCCAAGATGGTAGCCAGTGATCTAGGTAGGAAATAGAAGTTTTTATTTTGTTTCTGATTGTTGCTCTATGCAATGCTAACCCAACACCAGAAAATGATTGAGTGCATTGCATCTTGTGGATGTTAATTCGTTATTCTTTTGCTCAATAACAATCTTTGGGCTGTGTCTATTCTACATGCATTTGGGAAATAATTCTTAAAATCAGTTAAATTGGTTTGTGGCTCTTTCTCTGTACTTACCGTGTGAATTACTCTGTTAACTTTTACATTTGCTATGTTTTGAAATAAAACAGGGTTCAATTTATGCTCTAAATACCAAGCTTATGCTCTCAACTTTAACTGTGAGTCAGTTTTTCCTTTATAGCTTTACTTGTATTTTTTTCTGCCTCACTTCCATCTCTCTCATATTTTTAAAATCCCATATCAAGGAAATGATCTTCTAAAAGATGGCATTTTTCAGTCTGTAATCAATACCCGTATCAGGTTATGCACAAATGAAAATACTTACATTACTCTTTGTTTTGTGCATATTTTGTAATGAATGACTCGGTTTAAGATTCTCAAAGTTTAAAACCTAAAAAGAAATATATAACCAGACTTGGAAACATAATCAAATTAGAATTTTTTTTAGGGGGGGTCACAAAAATCTGAGAGTGCTCAAAAAATTTGAAAGTCTTGACAAAATAATATTCAAGAAAAATGCCTAGTTCACTTTTGACTTAACCATGCAACATTTATTATACAGTTAATACCTTTTTAAGTTTCCCTACATTTTTACCACATATTCTTTGTTTTTCTTTTCATATTTTTGGGGTGATTGTTTATATGTGCATACGCATGATCATATTATAGGGAAAACATTTGCGTGTACAAGTGTATGTGTGTGCACATACTGGCACACACAGGACGGCCTTCTACAGGTGCCATATACCTTCTTTTGTTGTTTCTTTTGTTTGACTTGGCTTTGCCAGAGAGTCTTTCCCTGGCCTGGAGCTCACCAAGTTCCTGATTTGACTGGCCGTCCATAAGCCCCAGGATCTCTTTCTGAGCTCTGGAACTACAAGTGCACACCATCATTCCCAGCCTTTTTTATATGGGTTCTGGGAATCAAACTCAGGTCCTGACACTTGCAAGGCAAGCACTTCTACCAACTGATCAGTATCACTGCCCCTATTACATATTCCTTTAATCTAGCTAAAGTAAATGAGTTTCTCCATAGCTGGAAAAGTTTTACTTTTCCTCATTTCATAACTTGTAATATGTCGTTGAATTTTTCAAAAATTACTACAGGAAAACATTTGTTTTCTTAGCATTGTAAATTGAACCCTGTTCAGTCATATTAATGGTGGATGACTCCTAGCCCTCTGGTCAATCTAAAATAAGGTGGTTTATTCTTGTGCAAAGGGCTTTTCATCAATTATTTACTCTTTATCATGGTTTCATGATTTTATTATCTGTTGGTAATAATAATTAAATCACTTTAATTATATACTAACTTCGCAACTAATTTCCTTTATAGCATATTGTACCCTGGTACATTCAGGTTCTGTTACCTCTGTAGACAGAAGCTCTGCTCTACAGAAATTTTACTAAGTAGTTTGCTAAGTTAAATTCCCTGACTTGAACAAGTTTGCAGATAGTTAAATTTGTTAATGTAGTTCCTGTCTGTCATTTTGTTCTATGGCAATATAGCTTTATTAATGTGTACCTTCCCCTTCTGTTCCAAGTAGATGTGTGCCTTGAAATATTTGTGTTCAATTATTTGAAAGTCTTTATGAACAAATTAGCTAGGCTAGACAACATGTTCATGTTTGAAAGGATATGTCTTGGATAGAGTTTATTTCTTCTGAAGTCTTTCTTTTGTCTTTTTGTAGGTCTTCTTAGGAAATATGTTGACTATATCCATATTTTCAAAGTTATGCTGGTATATGATCTTTCTAAATGTTTTTAACCAGAAACAGTTTCCTCCCCTGCAGTATCTGTATTATGTATTGGAAGATTTTTGTTGTGTCTTTCTTGCTATAACCATTTTGGTATAGAAATAAAGCTACCGTCTCAAGATTTTCCTTTTTTCAAGTGGAGTCAGCCCGGTATTCCATTGTGAAGGTTCTGTGGTTGAACTGTTGTACATTAGATATGTAATCTCTGTACCTCTCCTCATTAGTATCTATTTTATAATAATAATTAGCACAAAGTATGCTGTTGAGAAACTGAAATGACAGTGAACTGTCCAAGATTAGTGTTTTCTGTGGGACACTCCATTAAAAAAAATACCAGGACCTGAGTCTGGAGAGATAGCTCAGTGGCATTGAAGCGCAAGAACAATTATTGCTCTTGTAGAGGACACAAGTTCAGTTCCCAGCATCCACATCTGACTCCCCCTTCTCACCTCCCAAAGACACTAGGTACATGCAAGCCACGTACTCATACATGTAGAAATTACAAGTGTTCACCTTACAAATAAAAACCATTCAGGGTTGCTAGCATTCTTCATAACACTCACAGCCATGTCTTTAGGTGAAGTGAGAATTAGACTCACAGCTTGACATGGATGCCAGAACTGTTTTGGGTCACCGACTGAATTGCATTGTTCTTAAGTTTCATGTGTTGGAGAATAATTGTTACTGGTGCCAGAGATAGTCTGTGGTTTGATTAAGGGGGGGGGGGAGGTAGGGTGCCATTCATACTTTAGCATTATTTTGAAATTTGCTTGTTTGAAATACATTTTTTCATACTATATTTGGTCATGTTTTCCCTTCCCCTAAGAATGGAAAATAAATCTTTTTCCTTGCTTATCATTGCCTTGACAATACAGCAGAGGTGGATGACACAAGAACATGTTTTTAACATAATTATCTATATGTTATTCGTAGTGTTGCACCTGCGCTTAGTAATCTCAGGAGCTGTTATTTCTGTGTTTCACAGATGAAGGGACTGAGTGTGAGTTATCTGTTCCACAGCCAAATGATAAAAGCAGAACATGTAGCCCAGAGGTCCAATTCCATTGTTGGAATTACACACACACACACACACACAAATACACACACATATCTCACATAGTATAAATATATCATGCAATTCATAAATAGATAATCTGGCTATGGACCTATTCTGCTACACAGTAATCTGGGGATAAATGGCTCACAATCAGATTCTATGTGTGATAATTTATAAAGTTTTTTATAATAAAGTTCATTTAAAAAAGTTAAAATACTTTTATTGAAGAGAAAAAGCACATTCTATCTGGATACCAAATCTTGACTACCGCTTTAGTACCCATTGCTTAAGCTTAATATATCGTCCCTAGAGGTCTGTCTCAAAGACAAGACTCAAGAAAGTGAACAAGAGCAAAGTGGAATGTACTGGGCCCTGATGATTATTCTGTTTCATACTAACAGTAGATTTCTAGTTGGATCCCATATTCTGGCCTAGTCTCCAGGTCCATTTTAGTTTCTGAGTGTCAAGAAAGATTTCCTAATTGCTTGAATGCGTGAAGCTTGGAGGGTAGGGGGAATGATGTTAGAGATTAAAGAATAAAGATTCAAAATTAAGGCAACCTGTAAGTACTGTGGCGAAACAAATAGAAATGCAACTCTCTGTGTTGCCTAGTAGATAGTATTTTTCTATGACATTTGTTAAAATGGGGGAGATTATACCTCAGGGAGCCCTCATCTCCCCAATCCTAAGAACATGGATATTCAGCCTATGACTCATTTCTCAGTAAACCCAGAAGTGAGTGCAGTGCGTTGATCATGTGTAGTTTCCATCAATTCTTTTCATACAATGCCTGATGGCTCTAACACAGCTTAAAATCTGCGCTCTATGCTTTTATTCTACAGTATTAACTTACTACAGCTTCAGTATTTGTTTTCATCCTTGAAATTTCCAAGAAAGACATTCAGAGAAGCTAAATGCTGTGTCTCACTGTGTGTTGTTCCCAGTCTTAGTCTGCAGTACTGTATCCAAAGTCTCCCTGGGTACTGCTCACCTCGGGACTGGCTGAGTTGAAGGACATTGGGTTGTAAGGTTCTGCAGTTAAAAAGGGCTTAGGAACAAAACAATTAGTAGCAGTACATAATTAAAGTGTTTTGAAAATATAACAAAACAGTGAAGTAATCTTCCTAGTCACAGTATGTGTGCTCTTATCTTCTCAGTATTAAGAAACTATTGGAATTGGGTCAGCTGAAGAATTCCTAGAGAAATATTTAACTATACTCGGTATTGTATATAACAAAGATATCATATTTGCTAGATAAAATTTTATTTTATGGGAGGGATTTGTTTAAATTTTCAAAGATATTTGAAGTTATATAAATTTGTTTCTAGTGGAAATCCTAAAGAAAAGCAAAAGCATTTAAAGAAACTTAAATTGTGTTGTAAACAGAACTTTTAGTAGGATCACACATCTGATTACTGAAAGGAATGGTAAAACATTTATAATTAATAAAATGTTCATTTCATATCATTTACTTCAAGAGGGATAAATTTGTTACTTACAACAATTATTTGGGATATGTTACTTCTCTATATGTATTTACATATTGAATTTTGGATTTGAAATAAACTAAAAGATTGAGCTAAGCATAGTCATGCATAACTTTAATCCCAGCACTCAAGAGGCAGAGGCAGACACATCTGAGTTTGAGGCCGGCCTGGTCTATAGAGTAACTTCCAGGACAGCCAGAGAAATCCTGCCTCAAAACAAACAAACAAAAGCAAACAAACAAAAAAGTTTTGTGATTCATGACATTCTATACATTTGTCTTAAAGATCCCTCACCTCTTTTTCGAGGAATATTACCAGATTTAGGAAAAGGACGCACTAGGCTATCTACAAATGCAGTAACGAATGATTGACGTGCACACTCACATTTGAGAAGTGTCTTAGTGGTGCACAATAACTTACCAAGCAGAGTAGTGGGGTCACAGAGGTGACATAAGAGTCTTTTAAAAATGATTTTGGGGGCACATCCCCCATGGAGGGATACTCCCTTAACCTAGAAACAGGAGAGAAGGCCTAGTCCCTACTCCAAATGACTTGACAGATGTAGATGACCCCTCCTGGAGGGCATCACCCTACATGTGGAGTGGGGGGGGGTGGAAGGGAAGGGTGGTCGGGGGCCATGAGAGGGTGAGAGGGAGGGAGACAGACGGAATTGGGATCAATATATAAAATGAAAATAAAAAATAAATCAATATAAAAAATGATTTTGAGCTATTTCAAGCTTCTTGTGTTACTTATCAACCTGTCCATATTGGACCTACGATATCTGGTGGAAACTTCTGTGGATTCTTTGAAAGCGTTGACTTGATATCGCATTTAGAAGACAGTTTGGGAGACATAATAGCGTCTAACTCTAAGGATGTTGTACATCAAATATAGTAGCACCCAGGTATGTGAGGTCAACAGCTATGGTTGTATCCAGCTGTTTTAATCGTGTATTGCCTTTTATCTCTTGTCTCAGATTGAATAAGCTGGTGAAGATGACACGGCTGATGGATAAATCAGCCAGTTGTTCTGTTAGAATTCTCTAATTAGCTTAGTCAAACTAAGAAGTAACAAGATGACTTCTCCCCTCCCGCAAACCCTTGCCAGTCTACCTGATTGATGCCTATTTCTAACACTGGGTTTGTCGTTTTTTTAGATGACTGGATTTCTCTTTGTTTACATGGCGCCCTTATGGACTAGCAGGGTCTGTGTTTTAAATATCTCCTAACCGTCCAGACTTTAACCAAGTATATGCATTTGTGTATTAACCTTTGTTGTTCAAACTTTCACATTGGGAGCACTACTCTGTGCCGCATGCAATACCACTAACACAATAGATGTAGCAAACTGACTCCTAACTTTGAGCCACTTCCCAAACTAAGGCAATAACTGATTTTGAGGATGGAAAGTGAATTCCATAAGGTTTATGGATGAACTTTCCGTTTTTCTATTAAATAAAAAGACCTGTACTGACATTGACATTGTATATAAATACCATGATTTTAGACTAAGCATGACTTTGTGTTTTTCTCACAATAGAAATGGGAAGTATTAATTTACATCGAATAATGTAAAATATGTTTATTGCATAAATAAGTACTTTGATTTGTTTAGAGATATAGGCATGCCTTACATTCTAAGATGTAACTTAAAATGAGGAGGACAGCAACCACAGACTTAGGAGCTAGGAAGATGTTCTGCCACACTCCATAGTTTACTCTTGTGACGGTTGTGTCTTCCACAACACAGTCCTTCTGAGGAATGACTTTTCTCCTGTAGCCCTGAGCAATAATTGATTTTACATTAAGAGTTTAAAATGCTGACTTGAAGTAAGAACTTCAAGCACACAAAGATATTACATCAAGTAAGTACACACTTGTTAAAAATTTGGAAGTAAGATTTATTTTCCAGTCCTGATATTATTATAAGTGTATTTTAATTGTCGCAGAATATAGACTGAATAATAAAGCTATTCACTTCTATCTTGAAAATCAGTTGCTGTGACACATATCAGCCAAATATTTCTTAGAATTTTAAAAATATATTTTATTTTTCAGCAAAGATGTCAAGGAAATTAAGCTTGCCAACTGACCTAAAGCCCGATTTAGGTAAGTAGAGTAAACATCCAAAGTAATTGAACATTATAATAGGAAAGTGGAGGTCAAAGAATTACAAACTCTTTTCTGAAAGTCAGTGTTACAATGACAAGATGCTCCAAGATTTAACATCTTTTGAAATAGTGTCTAGGATGCACACTCGGGCAAAACAAAATATGTATTTCCTTGCCACTCTTGCTTTTTTTCTAAGCAAAATTTTCTCAATTGCAGGTTAAGTTTTACTAAAACTGTTTATATCCCATCCATTCAAAAAAACATTTTAAACTCTACAAACTTGATTTTATATTAGTTTAATATTTCTGAAATAGATAACTAGTTTTTTATATTGAACAAATTTCTTATTAAGCATTGTCCTTGTTGACTTTGATAATAATTTAGGCATACTCTCTTATAGTGTTTTTTATGTAGCTCATTCATTATGAAAGTAATGGAAGATATCCACACATTTTACTTCAGTCTGTCTCATAACAGCTACCAGTATTTCACACAGATAAATAGGATACTAACTTTAGCATATTTCTCTGCCATTTCCCTCACCTGTGATATACTTCGAGAAAGCATGTGGTAATTAGTAAAGGCTTAGTATGTTCATAGCTATCGTCAGTAGAAAGTTCTGACTATAGGAAATCCAGTAGAATTCTACAGTACCGCTCTTACAGGGCAATGAAATTAACCATAGAAACAAGCTAGCTCCTGTTTCCAGAAGAGCAACAGCTGCCTTTATTATAAAAATGAAAATCTGAGTGCCATGTCCGTGTAGGGGGGTGGAGGGGAGGAAGGGAGAGGGGGGCAGAGGGAAGGTACTGTAATTGAAGAAAAGCAGCGGGTGAGAGGAAGACACCGTGCGACAGGGTTCATGCAGAGGGGTTTTTTATTAAGGGACATGGAAGACCTGCCTCCAGGGACAGGAGCAGCAGGAGAAAGCAAAGAGGGACAAAGAGAGAGGAGAAAGAGGTAGGGGAACAGACGGAGAGAGGGAAAGAGAGAGAAGGATGGGAGTGGGCAGGAAACAGGGAATGTGCACAGGCGGTGCTCTTAGTGGCTGCAGCTGAAGGTGTATCCTGTCAGAACCCCACAGGCAGGCCAGGACAGATGCCTGAATACTAATGGGGGAGGGGAGAATTATCAAAAAATAAGTTTAATTAAAAACTGTCATAATTTGAACCCAAGAATTTCGTAGACTTACATTGTACATGTTTGCTCTAGAGGAGGAATCAGGATTTTCATGACAAATTTGAAGAAGCTCATGGTTTTAGTGCCATAAAAATATTGCAGTTAAACTGGCTGTGAGTCTTTCCGCATCTTTAAAAGTCTCACATGCTCACATGCTCAAATGCTCGTTTAAAAGTACTTTTAAAGCTTGTAATATGTGCGAATATATACACATATATGCATTGCAATTAACTATTTTTGAAAACATATACTATAGGTCAAATTATACAAGCGGTTTAGTCAGCGTGTGCCCACCCTGCTTTTATAGGCCTCTTTAATTACTAGTAAAAAAAAAAAAAAAAAAAAAAAGGTGGTAGTATTTTCAAGGTGATTTTATAGATTCAATAAAAAATGGTTTTTTATATATATAAAATCATACCTAGGTAGTATACTGTTTAACCATTGCATTGCTTCAATTCTAGCATTTTCATTTATGTATTTATGTTCTTCATGTTAGAATTGTTAAACATTGTCCAATGGGGCACATCTGTTATCCTAGCTTTTAAAAATTGACGTAAAGTAATCAAAAGTTTAAAACAAATTTACTCTACATACCGAGGCAGTGTCTCAAACAATCAAATGAGTTAACTGTTCTACTTTGTGTAGCTAGCTCACTTTAAAAAAAAAAAAAAAAAATCAAGCCACAGAGACCCATACCAACTGACTTAATAGGGAGAGAGGGAGCTGTAGTTCATCGGGGTAGAGCTTAGTTGTTTTTGTATCTTTTTTTCTGATGCTGATGTAGCCTGAGGTGTCTCTTTGGTGATGAAATGTTTGTATTTAATAAGTCATATAATAAAACTGCTATATAGTGTAATATTTTGAAGTTATACAGTCTATTAAATTAACACACCGTGTACTCAGCTTTTGCATTTAACATTCACGTTATTGTTAATTGCCTATAATTTTTAACAAAGGCAACATTTTCCACGGCCACATGTTAGTTTACAGTAATGTGTATTACCAACTTTTCTTGTATCGCTACTTTCCATTATTATCACTAGGGCACAACTAAATTTTTCTGCCAGCTAGGTATACTGTTTAAGTAACAAAATAGATTATCATTGGAAAATACATTAACTTTTAATTTTGAAAAGTAACTTTGGAGAGTTGAAAGAATTAAATTCTGTGGTCAGCCATTTTTATAAACTCACCAAGAAATGTGGCATTCTTGATTATGGAAAGTTGTTTTATTTGCAGGAAGGACTTGAGTTATTTTCTGTTGCTGTAACAAAAATATCCAATCCTTTAATAAGGAGTGTATTTATTCATAATTCACACTTTAAAAACTTGTCTGGCACCATCAGCTGCTGTATCACATAATGTGTGACATCACAGTGGGAAAGTATGTCGGGGGACAGGTCACACAGTAGCAAGGCTGGCGGTGAGGCAGAGCAGGGACCAGGCTTGCTCTTTGTACTCCAGTCCTAGCTAGACCAGGGTCCCTCAAGAATTGCATACGTGCCCTCTGTGGGTGATGCCAACCTCCCACTGGACCCTGCTCTTAGAGGCTGTGTGAAGTCAGCATTGCCTTTCCGAGGACAAGGCTTCCAGCACAGTCGTCTCTGGGTGACAATCACATCTTCACATCATAGCAGTCACCTTTTCTACCATGTTCTCATCTGTCATACAAGTACAGACTTAGAAGAAAAGAAGGATGTGTTTAGAAACTACGGTTAGGTGTGGCCCTGACTGTTGAAATTACTAGAAAGTTTAGAGGCTAGCTATCACCAAAATGACATCATATAAAATTCCTGGAGAAATGTTTTCAATTTGCAAACCTAAATTTGTTTGCAGGAAACTTGTGAGCGTATAAGGATTGAGTTGCACCTTTTCATATTACTAAAATATACCTTAGGATGCTTTACTGTGTTTTTTATTAATGACATTTAAGAGAAAACATTGAAAGCCATGATTTCAGAAGTGAAGTGTTTCTAGGAATTTTAATAATATGCCTAATGGCACCGTTGAGCAAAGTAGCTTAAACTGTTGATTATAGATCCATCTCTTGTGAGTGTTTATTGGAGAAACTTTACAAGTGAAACCCTGTGTGCAGAGCATGAAAACGATAGAACCCTTGTACTACATCCATCTTAGAGCAGACAATCAGAGGGTCAGAAAGTACTGTGGCCACAGCTGTTCTGGCACAACAGTGGAAGAGAACAACGCTCAACAGCTTAGATGCAAAGGGCAGAGGACCTTCTCTGTTCCTTAGGGGTCCTGAGGAACTGGCCGAGATGGCCAGTGTTGCTTGGTACAAGAGATTGGATGCAGGGACTGGAAGATCACAGAAGTTAAATGCATGTTTGGAAACAATAAGGAATCTCCGTTTAGATTCCATGGCCAACTGAAGAAGTTTAGCATGAGAGACACAGCCAGGAAGTTACACTGAGATTTGTTGAGAGGGTCTGGACAGTCACAGAGAGACTGCATGATTAAGTAGACAAGTAGAAGCTATGGAGGGAGTTTTTCATCGAAGTAATTGAATTATAATTGTGCTATATAAAAGTGAGTTATATTAACAGTGAGAAACTAAAGGGGGATTCAATCTAGATGAAAACCTGAGTTTAAAATAATGGAACTAGATTGGTGGCAGAAAAACAGAAAAGGAAACAATATTGCCATTGAACTTGACATCCCAGCTCATGTGCAGGTCAGTTGAAGGCAGGGAAGCAGGACTGTGGCCTGTTGGTTAAGGTGACCCAAATGTCATCAATGTCAGTAGAATTTAATGCTTTGTTAATGATAGGATTTCTCTGGGGACAAAGCAGAGAGTGTGTCTAGACAATGCATTTCCTGGAGAAACGATGCCAGGGCTTGAGATGGAGTTGGAATTAGTGGATGGAGATGGGGTTAGTGGACGAAAAAACAATTAGTATATTTTAAAATAGAAATACCAGGTGCTGGTGATACCTCAGCAGACAAGCGCCCTGGAGGCTCTTCCAGAGAACGGGGGTTCAATCCCAGCACCCACACAGCAGCTCACAGCTGTCTATAACTCTAGTTCCAGCCACCTTGTTACCCTCACACGTGCAGGTAAACCCCAATGCACAGAGAATTAAATTAAAATGCAGCAGCTATATTGTTAGAGAAAGAAGCCTGGCATTAAGAGTGAGCCTCATACCAGTCACACATTTTGAAGCCGTGTTTCTTAGACGAATACTGTTCCTTTTGGAGGGAAATTTCCCATTGGTCTTTATGGTGTTCATGTAAACAGGCTGAGACAGGAGTGGTCTACTGTTCAAGCACCTGCAGATGCAGTTCTTACATGTAGAGACTTGAAATGATCTTTACATTTTTGGTTTTATCTAGTCATAAATTATAATGCCAAGGAGGTGATGGCTCTGTGAGAGCAGTGGCTGGAGACAACAGAGGTCACGCTTCCAGTGTTTTCTTTGGGAAGTACCCTGCTCACTTGTGAAAACTATTTATTTGCATTTTACATTTAAGCCAAGAGGAAAATGTATTAACATAAACGTAAATTGTTTTTCTTTGCACCTAAAAGGACATCAAAAGCTTCATATGCCATAGGTTTTGTTTTGGGGCAAATTTAACTTGACCAGATCTGTAAAGACAACAAAAGACAAGCGTGGCATGTCATAACTAAAGCAGTCCCCCATCTTTAATCATTCCAGATGTGAAAGATAATTCCTTCAGCAGATCGAGGAGTTCAAGCGTAACCAGCATTGACAAGGAGTCCCGCGAGGCTATCTCTGCTCTTCATTTCTGTGAAACTTTTACTCGGAAGGCAGACACCTCCCCGTCCCCATGTCTGTGGGTGGGGACCACACTGGGGACAGTGTTCGTCATCACACTGAACCTCCCCCCGGGGCCAGAGCAAAGACTCCTTCAGCCAGTGATTGTGTCTCCAAGTGGTGCGTATGCCTTGGTGCTACATGAGGATGTCTGCCAGGTGTGGAACATGCTGGGGCTTAATTAGCATTTCCCAATCTAAGCATTGTGAAGGCAAACGGCATCAGTGGCAGTTTTGTGTTTTAAGAAATAAATGTTCTAGGGCTATGGAGAAGGCTCAGCAAGTAAGATCGTTTGCCAGGCAGGTTCAGTTCCCCAGAGCTCACATGACCAGCTCAGAGCAGGTGGTACACATCTGTAAATCCAGCAGTCTCATGTCATGTGAGAGGTTAGACCAATTGGCCCAGAGCTCTCAGGCCAGCCAGCTTGGATTGCACAGTACAGAGCAGAGGAGGTCTTGCCTCCAAAGCAAGGGAGAGGAGAGACCCAGTTTCCCAAGTTGCCATCTCGATTCCACAGGTGCCTGCATCCACAAGTTCCTCTTAAAAATTTTAAAGTAAAATTAAAATTTCTAGTTCTATATTTAAAGAAAAGATCGTATCATTCATTTATTAATGAGCAGGTCAGATGTGTATTGCAGCATTCATTATTTAGTTGTGAAGTATTAACTATTGACGTCTGTGTCTGGAGCATGTAATGACATGTTTTTGCAGACTCAAATGACATGGCTTGAGTTTTGGGTTTCATCGGTGACGTGATGCAGTTGTATTCTGAGTGCAGTGTGCATCCAACGTATTTGTGTGTATTTAGTGTCAGAGTTAGGGAGAGCGTCTTTACCCCGAATTTAAAAATGGAAGTGTATACTAAACTTCTACGTTCTAGGTACTATATTGAGGTTAAAAGGTGCAATCTTGAGAATGGCATTTCTGGATGCCACGGGCTGCTTAATGCCACCTGCGTCCGAACCCTGGAAAGAGCCCAACGTTCCCGAAGAAAGAGACGAAAAGGAGCAACTGAAAAAGCGGCGCCCTGTCTCAGTCTCCCCCTCCTCTTCTCAGGAAATTAGTGAAACCCAGTATGCAGTGATTTGTTCTGAAAAGCAAGCTAAGGTCATCTCACTGCCAACCCAGAACTGTGCGTACAAGCAGAACATTACTGAGACGTCCTTCGTGCTTCGCGGAGATATCGTAGCACTGAGCAGCAGTGTCTGCCTCGCCTGCTTCTGTGCCAATGGCCATATCATGACCTTCAGGTAAGAACGCGGCCGTTTCGAAGCGCATGCAGCGCCCCCACTCTGACCACAGTGTGAGATTCAGCTGGAGAAAAATACCGAGTTGTTCATATCTCTTACGCATTGAAAATTCGTTTTCATTCAGGGAATAGTAAACAAGGATACAACCGTATTTTCTCTCCCTCGGCTGTATAAACTAAATGATTTAACAGCCTCAGCCATTTCTCTCTCTCTCTCTCTCTCTCTCTCTCTCTCTCTCTCTCTCTCTCTCTCTCTCTCTCTCTCTCTCTTCTCTCTTCTCTCTCTTTATGAGTTTTCTAGGCTAGCATTCAGGGTACTGGTTTTTACCATTGTGTCTTCATACATAGTGTCATTGTACATTGTACCCACCCTATAAATAACCCGCTGCCCATTACTAACAAATTATTTACTTTCCCTCAAGTTTGCCAAGCTTAAGACCTCTGTTGGACGTCTACTACTTGCCCCTTACCAACATGCGGATAGCCAGGACCTTTTGCTTCGCCAACAATGGACAAGCGTTATACCTGGTATCACCTACAGAGATCCAGAGACTCACCTACAGTCAAGAGACATGTGAAAATCTTCAAGTGAGCCACACAGTATTCGAACTTCTGTAGAGCTTAAAGATTCTCTGAGGGCCCTCATACTGACTGCGTTCACCTTTCTTCCGGAGTGCCCATCTGAGCCGATGTGGGAAAACTCAGAACCTTTTGGCTCGGTTTATGTTTGGTCATTTGATCACATTATTTCATTGTACTGGGAGGCATAGGGTAGTTTTCATATAGACATATAATGTACTTGGGGCATGCCCCCCACACCCTTCTGCCTTTCCTTTCCTCTGCCTGCCCCCTAATTTTATAGATCAATATAAAATCTGGAACCTACAAATGAGAAAAAAAGACATGTAATGTTTGTCTAAGACCTACTTAATTTGTTTAGTACAACTATCGCAATAGATCCCCGAGCTACATTTTGGCCCCCCCAAACTGTAAAGCTTCTAAAAGGACATGAGAGAGCTTCTCTGTCACCTTGAGTTAGGCAGTGGCTTCCTAGCTGTAGCCCAAATTCATGTTTCTGTTATAAAAACACAAATTGATAACTTCAAAGTATAAACTTCTGATCTCCTACAGAGAGCCATGTAAGAAAGGCAAGCCATAACTATATTAAAATGGTAGTAAAGCCTTTTTCCGATCAAACTTTGTGTTAGACGTCTATAATGGTTGCCTTCCTTCCCATGAGCATCCCTTTATCTCCTTGTCTCCATGTTCCCACCAAGACCACTGGGTCTGTAGTGACTGGATATACAGAGGGTAGACGCCACGTCTTAGTGACAATGCGTGGGACATTTTCTCTAGCATCATGTTGACCGTATGTGTCATTGTTGAGCTGTGCTCCTAGTCACTCCCTGGTGGTAGCCATTGCCTCTCGCTAAACTTGCTCTTACCTTTTCTTCTGTGGGAAGAATGCTGACAGTAAGTTCAGGCAAGACTGGTGGTGTAAAAGCCCCTCTAACCTCTTCCTGTGGGCGTCCGAAACCCACGTGTCAGAATGACACTTGTGCAAATTACATGTTTATGAGAAAGGAAACTGACCTGTCTAAATGACCATTTGTCTGTTTCCACCTAAGATGCTAATTCTGAAACTGACCATGGCTATTGTTAAACCTGCTGGTAGAGAATGTTCTTTCATTAGAAGATAACCTGGTTATCAATCAGAGTATCAGTTCAGCTCAAATTAGGTTTAAATATTATCTTGAAAATCACATACTGGCCGAGCATGAGCTCAGAAAAAGATCTTGTGTTCCAGGCAAGCCTGGAATATACACCAAGACCGTCTCAGACACAATTTAGTGTCTTCATCCTCTAGGCAGGCATGCTCTCTTGGCTCTAATGCTAAAGGTAGATTGGTCTTAATAACTCCAGTCTTGGAGAGTAAGTCAGTGTGTTTCTGACCACTTGGAATTTTCTCATGAGTTGTTGGTGAATCTCAAGGGAATTGTTACCACATCACGTCATTTTACAGAGGTGACCTTGTTAATTCAGTTCCTGTTTTCTTGGAGCTTTAACAGTATCACCCTTTTTGATTTTGAAGGAGATGCTGGGTGAGCTCTTCACTCCTGTAGAAACTCCAGAAGCGCCTAACAGGGGGTTCTTTAAAGGCCTGTTTGGTGGCGGTGCCCAGTCTCTGGATAGAGAAGAACTCTGTAAGTTGGCTCATTTCATCTGTTTTATTTTCCTCTCAGACAAAAAAAAAAACATTCAATCCATGTAAATGTGTTGTTACATGTATAAATTAGGCTTACTTTGTCACAGTAATCTACCCATGGCCTAACAAAAGGCATAAGATACTTTGTTGTTCTGTTCTCAACTAGGAAAATATTTTTCTCAGAGAACAAAAATCAGCCAAACTTCAAATGGCTGAGGAAAGCAAAAAGTGTTTACAGCTTTAAATTGGTAATTTAGAAAACACGTTCTTTTTTAATATGAAATGTGATCTTTATTGTCTTATCTTATGACTGCCATTAATTGATGACTGTTGTACAGTGCTGTCACTTTTATAAAATACCAGAGAGAGATCAACATAAAGGGGGAAAGTTGGTTTTATTTGTTGGGGTGCTTTTCTGGGTCCTGGGAGTTGAACCTTGGGCTTTTTACACGCTGGACACGCCCTCTCCCACTCAAAGCTGTGGCCCAGCAGGATTCTCCCTGATTTACAGTTCCACCCTCCAGCTGGGTGAGGGAAAAAGTCTGCTGGGTCTGTTGGGAGAGAGTGTGTTACTCCATAGCAGCTGGGAAGTAGAGAGTGAGGAATGACCAGAGCCCTGCTCTCCTTGTCAAGAGCAAAATACTCTGTAACTAAAGATTTTCAAGTAACAGGTTTAGCGGACTTGCTGCATAAGTCAGTATACAAAAACTGAAAATGAAATCTTTATCAGTATTATGTATATTAGCTTTCTGTCACTGCTGTTACTCCACACATCTATGGACCTGAAACAATGCAGCTTATTAGGCTTGTGGCTTCAGTCTTGTGTGTTAGAAATAAGCAGAGTTTATCTTGGTACCACCAGCACTCTGTTCTTCACTGGGGGCTATGGGTAAGAATGTGTTTCCTGGTCTTGTTTGACTTCTGAAGGTTATCTCCATTCCGTGTCTCCTGATCTTTTTTGTCAGGCAAGGAAGGCAATGTCACATCTCTCTGTTTTTCTGAATCTATATATCTCCCTGCATGATAAAAACACTTTGCTCTTAAAGAGCCTTGTGACTTGATTGCACTCACCTAGATGATGCAAGATAACCAGCCAAGGTCAAGGTCCTTAGCTTAATCGCTTGTGAAGCCCCCTTTCTAACATAGGATACTATATCCCTGCCTTCCAGACTGAAGTGTAGCCATCTTGAGGATGGGGGCATTTTTTTCTATCTCTCAATGGTTATTCATTTTTAGAAAAATTTAGTTGAGTGTTAATTTTGGGAGAAAGGGGCTTGCCTACCACATACAAGGTGAATGGATGAATGGATACGGATACATGGATATGAGGGACTTTTCCTGGAAAGATGCACATGCACATATCTGTTCACCCTGGAAAGGGAACCCACCACAGACCAAAGTAATTGTTGTACTAATGTCCAATTTGGTGAATCAGTGAGTTTGTATTGGGGGTTCCTAGTAAATAGACCTACCAAAGAGGGTTTCTTACAGGAGTAAGGGTGACTCCAAAGCAGCTTCAATACAGAGCATTCCAACTCAGGTGAGAGCTAAAAGCTCTTTGCACAGCTTGCAGACAGCTAGACAGTCCAGGAGTCTGTCTGCAGCGTGACTGACCATGCCCCTCTACAGCAAATGTTCATTCCCGTAAAGCTGGAGTCCAGGCTTGGGTACTCCAAGTCTCTGCTTCCCTGGACATGAAGTGTGTTTACCTCCCCAGTCTCATGTGCATCTCCCCTCTCCGGCCAGCAGCATGCTACAGTTCAAGGAAACCGCTCAACATCAGCGTGTTTGTGTGCACGCCTGAACATATGTACCCACGTACTTAATGACATTCTAATCTAAGTCCTTCCCCCACGATGTGGAGGACAGTAAATTTAGGGGATGGCTTTTGCCACGTCTTTTCAGATTGTCCCAGAGGCACAAACCAGGCTAATTGCACAAGGAGAGGAAGCCAAGAGTGGAGTGAAAGTAGAAAGCTCCAAACTGGCTGCATTTGCAGATGCCATGACTTTGATTATAGGAGATCCTAAGGCAACCAACCAAAAGCAAATAAAGCTGATAGGCAAGATGGCAAGGTCAACGGACCTGTGATCAGTGTCTAAAAGTTACCTCTTTTCTAGATGGTGGCAGTGAATAACACCAAAGGGAAATTTAGGAAGTAATCCCTTTTATTTCAGGGACATGGAAGGAAGGAAGGAAGGAAGGAAGGAAGGAAGGAAGGAAGGAAGGAAGGAAGGAAGGAAAAATCATTAGATCTCGATGTGGTCTTGGTGTTGGCGTAGCATAGAGTTCCTGAGGGGTATGTAGAAGAGTACATTATGTTGTTAGCTCTTCCTTGGAGGTCTGGTGTAGTTCTACATTATAACTAAACTGACATTCTCACTAAAACTTGAGAATATTATTTTTAAAAATTAATAAGTAAAAAGAACAGCATCTCATGTTCTTGGATCTAAAGACTTTATTCATCCTGATTAGGTATCAGTGCTGCTCCTCAAACTGATCTAAATAATCCATACCAGAATCCAAACTGGATTTTTGCACAAATAGTAAATGGCTTGCTTTTAAGATTTCCGTGGAACTAACCAATAGGCCAAGCTCCTTGAGTACAATCGCAGTGAGGGAGGAGTGAAAATATGAACAAAGGAGTCAAGACCACAGTGGGGAAACCACAGAATCAGATGACCCAAGCTAGTGAGAGGTCACTGACTCGGGTCTAGCAAAGGGGGGAGACTGCATAAGACCAAACTAGACTCCCTTAATATAGGTGACAGTGGTGTGACTGGGACAGTGTATGAGGCCACTGGCAGTGGGTCCAAGATCTAACTCTAATGCACTAACGGACTTACTGGAGCCCAATCTATATGGAGAGATACCCTGCCCAGCCTAGACACAGGGGTATGGGGTGGAGAGGCGCCTTGATCCTGCCTCAACTAGATGATGGGACAGACTTAGTAGACTTCTTAGGGTAGCCTTCCTAGTGGAGGGAATGGGAGGAGAAGAGGGAGGGGGAACTGGGATTGGGCTGCAAAAATTTATTACAAAGCTATAGTCTGTAAGATCTGGATTATTGGTATGAACGTAAGCAATAGCATACAGCTGAGAGTTCAAAAACAAACCTGTAGCATTTGTAGTCAATTGATTTTCTGCAAGGATGCCAAGAAAATCCAGTGATGAAACCTTTCCACAAATGGTGTTGACGCAACTTGATATTCACGTGGATAAAAACCAGCAACATGAAAAGAATCAAGGACTTCTATATGAGTGTTAAAGTACAAAACTCTCGGAAGTGAAGTAAATCATTGTTACCTCAGTCAGTGGTTTCCAGACACTTCACCTAAGTTAAAAAAAAAAAAAAACAGAGAATAAATGAGGGAAGTTGTAGATCATCTGTGTGAAAACTGTGTGTTTCAGAAAATGACGAGAAGATTGCAATCCCAAAAATAGCACAAACTGCATACATATAATATCTGATATGATAAAGTCTGCTTTATGGACTTGATGAATCCTACTATCTGCAATACACAAAGAACTCATGGTTCAGAAATAGAAGAATAAATAGCCCGATTTTGAATGAGCAGAAGGTTTGGATTTCTTTTGAAATATTCTTCATCAGTAAGCATCGAAAGATGCCCGACATGATCTGTCATTCAGGACACAGTGTGTATGAGAAGCCACTGTGAAGTGCCATGTCGAGTTCACTGGGGCAGCTGCAGTCAGTCGTATGCACATTGCAGTAGAGAAGCTGCAGCTCATATCGCTGGTGATGGTGAAAATACTGCATGCCCTTGAGAAAGTCCCCTAGACCTCAGGGAGTTCAGCATGGCGTTACCAAGTGTCCCAGCCAACCCATCCCTGGCCACATGTGTGCCAAGGGAACTGAAAAGCAGATGTTTACAGAAACAGTTCCACAAATGTCCAAGCAAGCATTACTTATAATAAGCCATAACTGTGGAAACTACCCCTTGGTTAATGACATCATAAAGCAAAATGTGGTGTGCCCCTAAAATGACACACTATTGAGCCATAAGAGGAAAGGGCACTGATGTGTGTTGCTACACAGACAAATGAGACCTTAGCATCAATCAAAGCATTCGGCCATGAAAGTCTACTGGCTGGGTGGGTCCGTTATCCATGAGCAGCAACAGGCCGTGTGGATATGTTTATATGGAGTATTTACCGTGGACAGATACTTAGAGATAGAGGAGTAGTGACCACAAGTAAGACAGGAAGAGTAGAAAGCGATGGTCACAGACCGTGGGGTTCTTTGTGAGTAATGAAGACATGTTCCAGGAGTGGGCAGTATGTGTGTGTGTGAGGGGAAATTCAAGGATGTATGACTGGGGTCTAATCTCAGGGACCTAAGACTTGCTGTGACCTGGGTGTTAGAGGCAAACATGCCATTTAAAGAAAAAGTGTGATGTTATGTATCTGAAAAGCATCCATGGAGACAAAGAAAGCATGTCTACAAATCTGGGCTACCAAAATGGAAATCGTGTTTTTATAAGTAAGTGTGGAATAAGAACAGTAAATCAAATGTTAAAATTAAAACAAACCTTTATGCTTAACATTAAAAGCTTAAAATTCACAAGCTATAATGTTAACAACTCCAAAAGCAATTTTAATTACAAAATCGGCATCAGTGTACCTACTTCCTTCTACATTAGCCAGCAAGCCCTGATTTCCTCTAATTTGAGCTTCATAAACTAGGCCAAAGTAGGATGTTTATAGTGGTACATTGCGGTTTTGCATATTTGGAAAAGCATCTAGAAATAATTTAAAGCAACACAATAAAGGTATGCTATGAAGTTAAAAATTAATACTCCAATTGTATTGCCATACGATCCAAACGTTGCATCTTAATGCCGCCATGTGGTGGGGTTTTTTCCACTTATCTTTTTCTCCACCATTGAACCCTTACAGTTGGGGAGTCGTCTTCAGGACGGGCCTCAAGGAGCCTTGCACAGCACATCCCAGGCCCTGGTGGGATTGAAGGGGTGAAGGGGGCCGCGTCTGGAGTCGTGGGAGAACTAGCCCGAGCCAGGTTGGCCCTTGATGAAAGAGGGCAGAAGCTTGGCGACTTGGAAGAGAGAACTACAGCCATGCTATCTAGCGCAGACTCCTTTTCGAAACACGCTCATGAGGTATGCCTGACATGCGGACAGTCCCACACAGAGCTAGGTAAACCCAATATGGGAATGACTGCATAGCGTACGTGTCTGTCGTCACCTCTACAAGCATGTATTTTGTAAAATTGCAAGTTCTGAGTTTTACCACAAGAGGGAACCATTTGTTTATGACCGCCCCTGAAATGTCTGCATTTTGAAGGGACGTGCCTACCTTTAGGACCTTTGTAAGCAATGCAGGTTTGCAGCTGTTTGGCAGTGAAGCCATTAAAAGATGCCAACTTCCTTAACTCACCTAAGAAAAAACTCACTTGCCTCCTGGATTCTTCCAGGTAGATCTAAATAACTAAAACCAGTCAGCTTGTTGAGTCTCTGTGTGTTGTAGACTAATGCTTATGGAGAGATAGTGGTACAGCTTTCCTAGTAGATTCATTGACCTCGGAAACAGATGTTGTAAAGTGTAGGGATCTCTAAAGGATGCTCACACACCTGTCTTTTGTTGACTGATAGAGGGCTTATGAAGACTTAATTTGTGGGCTGCAGAGATGGCTCAGCCAGTAAGAATGCTTAGTGTTCTTACAGAGGCCCTGTGTTTGGTTCCCAGAACCCACATGGTAGCTCACAGCCATCTGTGGCTGGCTTTTTGAAAGCATATTTTTCTTGATTTTTTTTTTCTTTCCTCTTTTAGATGATGCTGAAATACAAAGATAAAAAGTGGTACCAGTTCTGACAACCAGACAACTCCAATAAGAGCTACTTCAGCCGGGAGGAGAAGGAAATTTCCTTGTTGTCGTCGTTGGGGAAGAGAACACAGAAGGGAAGCACACTCCTGAAAAGTGTCTTCCCCAATGCAGCCAGGCACTGTTTTACCTCAGTCACACGGCTTTACCTGAGAACACACACACACACACACACATGCAAACTGGAGCATATGGTGTGTGCTGGCTGTGCGCTCACATTTGGAGTACTTAGCGGGGTCGTGCTGACAGAAGAAAACCACGAAGCGAGGTGGAGAAGTCCCCGTGGGCTATTCCTTGGATCATTCCCGTATTAAACTTTCATATGCCAAAAGATTCTGCCGTTGTATCTGCCATCAGTGTTTGATCCGATGTGGGGAGAGGCAATAAATCAGAAGTTGTAAGTCTGAAATGGTCATATTTGTGTCGGGACTCAATGGTGAACAGCTGTCTGGACTTGCTCTCTCCCAGGCAGACTGGTCATCAGTATCCGTAGTGAAAAAGCAACAAACTGTCCCTTTTTCGTTAGATCGTGCTGAATGGTGGGTTTTAAGTAATCAGAGCATACACACAGCTGTGTATGGAGTCCTCTTCAATCCTCGTTACTATATATTTGTGTTCAGTTCCTATTTTTTCAGAAGCAAAACAAGGTGATACATCACTTTTCGTGGAAAAGTGTAGCGCATGACTGAATTGCTCATCTTCCGAGAGTCTCCTTGTAGTGGCCATGCGGTGTGGAAAGTAAGAAACCCTCCATTGTGGTGAGGAGAATTCTTCAATGTCTTTTGTCCCTGTTCACATTAATTCAGCTGAAGGTAGATTTGACCTAAAGAGTTACTGGTTAAATTTGTAGAAAAGTTGAAATTGGCTAAGTTTTTTAATTTTGCTTGACTTTTTATAAAATGTTTAACCCAATGTACCCTTGCATTATTTAATTAAAATTGCTAAAACAACCACGTTTCATCATTTCAGTAAAATTCTCAGCTCCCCTTTAAAATGCCCTTTACTTGCTAACAATTTCAGTGTCCTCAGATGACAACGAGCTGGTTAAATCTTAGCGCACATGCTGCCGCCCGGGAGACCGCAAGCATCTTTGTCAGTAACCATCCAAGAGTCTAGTCTAATGACCTGCAAAATGTGTCCTGTAGAAACACATTACAAATCTGTACAAACCCTTCCAAGATACTTAGGGCAAAGAGGGAAGGAGAGTATGTTCTCATGCCTAACTGAACGTTTTCCGTGATCGAGAGATGCTTTAAATGGCAGATGCTGATGTTTAGTTCCTGCAATAGCATTGCAGCCCGGAAAGGAAGCAGGGTCCACTACAGTTGGAGGCGGTAATTGTTAAAGCTACAAAGAAGACATGGGGTAGGAGCATGAAATTTATATGCTGTCTTCTATGAAAGTCTCTACTGAGTCCTTTGTCCTTAATACTCCGGGCACACATTGCTAGGAAGCCTGCTTGTTTTCTATCCCGCGTGATGTGTGAAGTTCTCTGTAGGACATCTTCGGTTCCCCACCCTGTCGCTCACCTGTTTCTCTTTCATTAATAAATCTTTTGTTTACATTTTATAATGTGCACTACTGGATATAAACGTTTACATCAAAGTTTATTTTAAATAGCATCGAGTAAGGGTTAAAGATATGTGGTGAACTGATTGAGACGAAAATGTTTTATGACTACAATCATTTTTAGAAGTTTCTCAATCCGTAGAAAGTGAGTAACATTTCCCTTTTGTGTCTGTGCTCTGAACGCCCAGCAGTTCGCAAATGGCTTAATTTGTATTACATATTGTCCACTAAACCCATGTCCAGTGATACCTCATAGGAAGAATTGTGTCCTTTTTAAAAGGTATAGTTTTATGGATATCAGTGGTTGAGAATTTTAAAAGGTTGAAATACTGAAGCACCCTGACCCTCTGCTTGAGTCTGTGTGGAGCTGTTAATTTGCTGTATTATTTGTGTATCACATTCCTTTCTGTAGTCATTTTAATTGATGTAAATACAATGAATTAAAGTTGTAACTATTTACTAACAGAGAAGTAGATGTGTTTACCAGACCTGGCTTTTATAAGAACATCCTATTGCATTATTTTAAATCGTTGGCTTCTTTTTGTTTTTTTTTAATTAACCTACATATTGTGCACAACAAACTAAGAGACTAGGATTAGAAAGTACAAAGTATTTTTGAATAGAGAAAATGATCTTCCCAAGCTTTGCTTGATTCTGTAAATAAAATAGTCTTCAGTACTGAAGCTGCAGCCTGAGATGGCCTGCCTCCCCCAAAAGAGTAGTCACCAGCAAGCCAAAGTTTCAGGGACTCTAACAGCAACAACAAAAGGTCAAAATAAAAATTATCAGAAAATGAAAAGGTGTGTGTGTGTGTGTGTGTGTGTGTGTGAGATTCTGTGCGTATCCTGCAGATTCGTTCATAAGAATGAAGTAGTCACTTGTAACTTCTTGATGATTCTTCTGAGGTTAGCTCAGCAGATTTGGGAGTGTGTGAAACAAGCCTGAAAGTGTACATACATTTAGGATAAAGGGATGCTGGATGACCGCTAAGGAAAGGGGATTTGCTCCAAGTTCACCCTGAGTCCTGTATTTGACTCCTCTGTGCTTTGCTCAAGGCATTTCGCATGTGACATTAGTGAAGCTATCTCCAAAGGTATATATATATATATATTTTGTGGCAAAGATTGATTTTAACTTGGGGGATTTTGTTTATTTGTTTCTGCAAAATAAAGAGCACTGGACTTTAAACTTGAATTTTTCTGCACTTTTTTTAGGCAATGATTCTTTTTTTATTGTCATTTAGTCTGCATTTTCAGTTTAAACCAAGTGGATATGTGTGTATGAAACATACCAAAATCATGAATATGCTGCTATCTGCACCTGAAACCAGTTTTAAACCCTTTAGTAGTGTTTTATATAGCTCTTAAAGATTAAAAACAAGTGAAATTATTCGCTGTACATGTCAGTGTTCTTGGCCTTTGTTGCGACATTTCTAGGTTGTTTATAATCAATCGCGCAGTAACACGTTATATTTATACACTGCTAGAGAATATACTTTTAGTTTTAGATGACTTTTTATAAATTATATTCTTTAATTTAAAAATGGTGAACTTGTTAAGTCAAAGTACTTAAAGAGTATGTATATTATCCATACAAAAAGTTATGTTTTACGCTTATAGTAAGAAATACTGATATCTCATATGGAGATACAATTACATTTTAAGAAGCCATGCATCACGGAAAAGTCTCCGCATGTGTCAAGATACAATTATATAGGTTTTTTTTTTTTTTAAGCCCTCTACTGAATACTTTCAAATATTGATTTTATTTTGACAGGAGATGTCCACAACAATAATTTCTAGAACTTTCTCTGTAGCTTCAGCTTGCTGTTGGATGCCTATCTTAGCTATTATTTTAAATATATATATATACATATATTGAAAATGGTTTCCAGATATTTTCTTCTATCTTTTTTAAAAATAAATTTCCAAAAACAGGAACAGAGTTTACGTATTTTTGTCAATGAAGGTTTTTTATTTTGTAGTTTATAAAATATGTTCCTTATCAGTTTGATACTTAAAATCCCTAGGCTTTTAAATCTCCACTTACTTTGAAAAGAATACTCCTGTGTAGCCGGTGTCTCTTCTGGTTGCCTGTCTTGTCTTTCCTTTCGGCATTTGTTCTGGGTTGAGACTGATGCCAAGGTGTGCTTCTGATTTGGAAATGTTTTAAGTCTGCTGGGGTTTGTCAGCTGCCTGCTCGGTCTCGGGTCTCCTTACAGAGTGCTGTGGGCATCATCGCTGTCTGCCTCAGCTGTGGAGGCTCTCAAGAGGGGGAAATTGGAGCTGAGCTTTTCTGAGGAAGCAAATGATGTTAGTAACTTCCCTTCAATCATGGGCCTGATGTCACCGGCCGAGTTCATTCATGAATTAGGTGCCAGCTACAGAGTTGCTTTGGGATGTTTGTTCCTCAGAGGAAGCCGGGATGTACTTCTACCAATATTTTTCAGCAAGACACATAGTTTAAAGTAATTTTCTTGTCTATAATATGTAAATAAATAGTGTCAACTCATCTGTTGTAGGTCATTTGACTCAAGCATTTAAAGCGGGTGAGGTTAATTGCTATGGAATTCTTTTATGTGATTTTGGATTTTGATGTTTTAAGGGTTTTTTTAAATATCATCATTTGTATTTTGTGTAAACTTTGCTTCAGTTAAAGACAATGCAATGAGTTTCAAACAAACTTAACACATCAATGGGAAGTAATGCAAAAATGAAAAACAGTGACTTTATTATTATTATTTTTGTAAATAGTAATGCAATACTTTAGGTAAGACCTCTGCTCAACATGATAGCTAGAATTGGGGGTGGGGTGCTTTCTACTTACACCATTGGTTCATTGTAAATGTGTTTTCAAAAAATTATTTAAAAAAGGGACAGATTTAGTTTCCTGGCATTGTCCACACTGAGGATGCGCATGTTTGGTCCAGATCGCTCTCTGTGTGTAAGCTCCATGTGTGCTATTCAGCTGATACAGTCTCTCTCTATGTTCCTCAGTCTCTTAGAAAATTACGGGAATATGCTTTCCAAACAGTTTATTTTTAATTGTCTGTATATTGTTTCTTTTTTTAAATAGCACTATTACAAACACTACAAATGTCTTGAAACTTTGTAGTTATTTTGCATTCCTGTAACTTAACAGAAAAAAAAAGCCTGTCATCACAGGAAAAAGGTTCAAAATTAAGTAATGAATTATTTTTTTGTAAATAAATACCATTATGCTGATATTCTAAGAATGTATTACAAATTAATGTTTCTGGAAAATGTTCATATATATGTATATGAATGTCTGCTGAAGGGCTCTGATTGGGCAAAATAAAATACTCAAGTCTCTCCTCAAACAAAAGAAAACCCCTTTCTCTGGAAATTTATTTTAATATTTTTCCGAATTGTGGAATCAACAGATTAGTTGAAGAAAATAGATTGTCCCATTTCCAAAGATGTGCTTATAGGTAACTGAGACCACAGACACTGAAGGAGGTAGGTAGGGTTCTTGGTGAAAGGCACCTGGCCAGCCACGTGGTAAGTGGGTGGGGTGGAATGGAGGCAAGAGCTAGATGTACATGCACTCCCAGAACCCAGGAGTCCTATTCCAACCTTGGTTCTGAGTCAGCGGATCCCAGCAGGGGCTGAGCTGATGTAGCTGACAAACTCCAACTTTATTGGTCTGTGGAACATCTTTCAAGTAGTGAAGTTAGAGACTGTTGCCATAGTTACCATTATCAGTGTGTAACTACTTGTACCAAAAAGAAAGGAAGGAAGGAAGGAAGGAAGGAAGGAAGGAAGGAAGGAAGGAAGGAAGAAAGAAAGAAAGAAAGAAAGAAAGAAAGAAAGAAAGAAAGAAAGAAAGAAAGGAAAAGAAAAGAAAAGAAAAGAAACAACTACAACGGAACATCCAATTAATAGAAATAGGAAATTCTTGTGTCTGGTGAAGATGTCTGCCTCTTACTGTGATGCACACCTGTTCCACATGGGGGCAGTCACATCCTAAGCAAGAAGTCCTTCAGTCCACAATGGAGAATCCACAAGCCTTGCCGAGGTCGGCTTTTGTGGTAATCTTTTTATCTGAAAGCTTATGTAATACATCATTTTATGTTATAAAGCAGCTGTGCACATCATTTCGTTTTGCTCTGATTGAAGATCAAATGTTTTAGTTCTTTCATATGCAAGTAAAAGCTTGAAAAAAAAAAAAGATTTCCTCCTATCTCTGTCCATTCCTTCTTAGGGTAACTATTTGAGTGTGTCCTGTGTAATTGTCTGCGTCATTCAGTGCTTTGATAGGAATATATACTCATTATTCTGACTGTTCCTAAAAGTGTATAGGAAGAGTCTATTTTTTCCCCATTAATTTAAAGATAATGCTGTCTGCATTTTCTGTTTGT